TCCCAGCATTCAGGAAGCTGAGACAGGATGACTGCTGTGAGTGTGAACTAGGCAGTGAGAGCCTCTCTCAAAACACAGAACGGGAAGCAGCTCTGCCCACAGGTTTGAGGTTGGTCCCACGGGGAGCTGGAGAACTCTTGGCTGAGCCCCTCGACCGGAAAGTGACCTGGATGTTTAGACAGACCTCCTGGCTGACACCCCTCCCTGGCTTCATGGGGTGCAGGAAGCCCAGTGCTCAGGCATAGAGCCAGTGAGTGCAGGCTGAGGCTGGGGCATCTGCACTGGCAGGGCTGGGCTTCCCCTCCTCAGGGCTGGGCAGGTCCTGGTGGGGTGTAACCCTTGGACCCTCGCCCTGCCACGCCAACCCTGGGCGTTTCCTGGAGACCCTGCTTGCCGGACCGTGGCTTGCTCTGGCCCTGCTGGGAGCCCCAGCCCCTGCTGTGCCCCAGAGGCCCCGAAGGTCCCCAGCCCTGCACATGCCACGTACCTCTGTGTGTCCGTTCTCAGCCGCGTCGTGCAGAGGGGTCCCGCCCCAGGAGTCCCTGGTCACTGGGGCGCCCAGCAGCAGTAGCCGGTCCACTACGGGTGTGTGGCCTCCACGGGCAGCAAAGTGCAGGGCCGTGGCCCCCTCATCATCCCGCACCATCAGGCCAATGTCTGTGAAGTTAACCTGGGCAGGGGGTGGGCTGGGTGTCACAAGGGCCGGGTCCTTGTCCTTTGCTGATGCCTGACCACCCCAGTCACGGGATGTAACCTGTGGTGGATGCAGCCCTTGCCCTGCTAAATAGTCAGCTGGGCACTGCTGGGCCAGGAGAGGACCAGGCCAAGGCAAGGTGAGTGCAAAGGACCTGGGGCAGCGCTGGGTAAGAGCTCCATTATGAGGAGTGGGGGCAAGAAAGAAGAATCACAAGGGCTGGGGAGGGGACTCCCCTTTCCCCTGGCAACCAGAGTCACTTTTTGTGGGTTGTTCATTTTGTTTGGTTATTTTGAGACGGGGTTTCCCTATGTACCCCAGGCTGGCCTCAAACTCACAGTGATACTCCTGCCTCAGCCTCTCCAGTCAGAGGGCTGCATGGAATGCAAGGCAGATCTGGCCTGGTGCCCTCCATGGCTCCCTAGTGTCTTGGGAAGAGCCTGAGTCCTGCTGGGGTCCCTGCCTGTCTGTACCCCTGCCCCTCTGCTGGAGGCCTTGGCTGCCCCACCAGCAGCCTGCTGCCTCCTCCTTCTCCTCCTCCTCACCAGCCACCACTTCTTCCCCTGCTGGCTGAAGTTTGGTGGGCAGAGGTCTCAGCCCCCGAGCCGACTGCCCACTGCCCCGCAGGCCCTGCAGGCAGAGCCAGAGCGCTGCAGACTCGGGAAGCCCCGTCCCCACCCCACTCCTGGGCCCCCTCACCAGCCAGACAACGAGCGAGTAGTGGCCTCGGGCAGCGGCCGCGTGCAGCGGGCTCATGCCATCCAGGGCACGCAGGTGGACATCGGCGCCGCAGTCCTTCACCAGGAACTGGGCCAGGTGCAGGTGGCCCTCCTGGCAGGCCAGGTAGAGTGGGGAGGCACCACTGCGGGTCCTCCGGTTTATGCAGCTGCACGGAGGTGTGCAAAGGGCCGGGGTCAGGGCTGCTGGGGGTGCCTGCCCTGTTCGTGTCCACTTCCCTGCCCCAGGCACCCAGATGGATGTGGATGCTGTGCACTGCCTGACGGTACCAGCAGAGGGTGGGAGGAAGCAGCCCCTGGAACACAGCCCCACCTGCTCCCACCCAGCTTGGGCTCCCGGCCGACTGCGCCAGTGGGCACCAGGGCTGGCATGGATATGTACCCGGTAAGGATGGGCCTGCCCCCACGCCTGCCACAGGTGAGGCCCAGCAGAATCCCTAATGCCTGGGAGCAGCTATGGTGAGGTCGGGCCCTGGCCCACGTGGACCCCTCCTGGGTGCCACAGACTCTGCCCCTTACAGCCCAAGCTCCCAAATCCCCACCAGCCACTGCCCAAGGCTGCACGATCTGACACTGGTGCCAGGTCTCCACCATCGCTGTGGAGACACAGAAATGGCCACACTGCCCCAAGGGCTCTGCTCCCACAGAGGTGCCCACAGGGCTGGGGCTCCGTGGCTTCTCGGCAGGATGCTGGGGAGAGGGATGCGCTCTCGAATGTTCTGCCAGCCACGGCCACATGGGGCGGTGACCAAGAGTGACAGGGTCACACCCCAGGGACTATCTTAGCCACACTGTTGTGGGGACCCCTGTCCCTGGCTTCCGCTGGCAAAAGGGGAAACTGAGGCCCAGAGCAGCATGATTTGCTTGTGGGGGCTGGGATGGGGTGGGCCAGGCCCTCCTTATTCTTCCCCTCCCTCCTCCCTTCCTCTTCCCTTCCCACACAAAGTCCTCTATGCTCCTCGCCAGATGGACATGAGACACAGGATGGCCCCAGCCCTGTCTCATCACACAGCAGCTCCCTTTCCCCAGAGCCTAAGGTCCTGCAGGGCCGCACCCCATGTATGTGCTCCTTGGGACTCGACCCTGCTGGGGGCAAGGCAGCACTGGCCAGGCCAGGGTCCAGGGCAGCAGCTGTGGTCTACAATCACCACCGTGCCTGCTTTGCTCCTGTGGCCCGGGTCAGGCGGACACGTGGGCACAGGGCATGGGACCCTCCCGCTTGTGTGTACATGCATGTGCCCTGTGTGTGTATGCACGTGTGCACTTCTGTGCTGGTATGAAGCCAGAATGGCTTCGAGGTGGCCTGGCCTGAGCCCTATGGCCACGTCCCAGAAACCTCTGCTGGGTGGTCCCGGGGGCTGATAACAGGGACACCATGTCACCACCCAGCTGTTGGGCTTGTCCTGGGACCAGCGTGGGGTGGCCAGGGTGCCCAGATAAGACACTGGTGCCCTGGAACAGGTGCGGTCAGAGGCAGGTAGCTCCTGGGGGAAGGTGGGGAATCCAGAGCCTTTTCACCCAGGCCCATTGTTATAGCAACAGTGATTCAGTGCAGGGTACGGTGTGGGTGTGGGTCTCCCTTCTGACTGTCCTCAACACTGGCACTGGCTGGGAGCTCAGCACAGGGCTCAGGACTCTACAGCGGGCAGACCCAGACCTGATCAGAGCCCCATGCAAGTCTACGGTGAAATCACCTCTCCTCAGCAGGGGCTTCAGGGCCCACCCTTCCCCACTGCTTTCTGCTCATCCTGGGGTCCGCACTGCCACCCCGCATTGCCAGCCCCTCTCCCCCGGACCTCAGGCTCTCACCCACTGTGGGCAGCCACCAGGAGCTTCAGGCAGGTGAGGTCCCCGCTGACAGCTGCGTGGTGCAGCGGCAGGGCGCCCTCCAGCGTCTCCAGCGTGGCCGCGTGGCCCTCCTGCAGCAGCCACTCCACCAGCGCTGGGTGCCCGAAGCGGGCGGCCAGGTGCAGCGTAGAAACACCTGAGGCATCCTGGTCCTACCGAGGCACGGTCAGGCCATGAGTGGCACAGGGCTCAGCCCACCCTGCTGGGCAGCACCCACTCCTCACTGCTGGGTAGGACAGGACATAGGTTGGGGTTTGGGGCCACATCCTGGGGTCCTGCCCCAGCCTGGACCATTCCTAGGCTGACTGTGCGTGGTCAGAAAGGCTCCACGTGTTCATCGGTGCCTGGGATGGTGTCACGGGACCTGTCCCACCTCCCCAGACGCAGGTCCCTGAGATCAGGGACTACAGTGACGGCACCTGACAGAGCCGTGTGCCCGTGGGTCCTCTGGTCCCACGGCTCTGACCACTGGGCAACATCCAGCCACTCAGCACCCTTTCAAGTGAGCAAGCAGCCCGGCTACAGAAGCCTCCAAGGATCTGGACTTGAGACCTGACAGCCTTAGCACTACCCCAATCCCCCCAGCACGTGACTCAAAACTCCAGAGCCCCTCTTTCTGCATCCTTTTCTAGATACTTTGGGAAGAGGCCCGGCCATTGGGCCTGGTCATGGACCCCCACTAGTGGCCAAAAGCACAGAGCCTGGAGCTGGGGAGCCTGACCTTTGGGGCTTCCCTGCCCACCCCCAGGCCAGCTTGCCTGGCCTGCTCACCTGCAGCCCGCAGCCTCCGTTGAGGACCAGCCAGCACAGCTCGGCCAAGTGGCCAGTGGCTGCAGCGTCATGTGCCGGGGTGGCCCCGTTATGGGCCCGCTGGTTGCCGGGCAGCTTGGCCTGCTGCACCAGGAACCGGATGCAGTCCAGGTGGCCGGCGCGGGCAGCATGGTGCACCAGCCCGGCCCCCAGGGTGTCGGTGATGCCAGGCCCCAGTGAACCGGCCTTCAGTAGCCGCTCCAAGGTGGACACATCCCCGCCCTTAGCGGCTACTAGCGCCTGTTCCTCCATCCTCTGGCTCTCCGTGGCAGTGGCGTGGCTCAAGCCCAGGCTGGGCCAGGCTTCCTGTTTCAGGCGTGGACGCAGCTGCCGGCTCTGGTTACCGATAAGCAGCATACGGGGCAGATGGAAGGCGACGAGGAGTGGGGGCCAGGGGGCAGGCCTGGGAGAACCTCAGGGCCCCACCCCAGCCACTCCTGCAGTGCCCGAGTCCAGATGCAGGGAGCCGAGGGGGATGGGGGGCACCATTCCTGGGGACACAGCCACGCAGGCCAGGCTGGAGGTGGGTGCAGGCCAGTGATAGGGGACAGCCCTATGCCATCCACAGTCCATGGCTACAGCTTGCACCTTCCTGCCAGCGCTGTGCCTCACAAGGAAGCTGCCACCAGGGTTTCCGGCCAGGCTGGGCAGTGTTTCCAGCAGGTGGCCAGCTTGCTGCTTCCTCTGCCTTCCGGCACTGGCCCAGCCTCGGTGCTCAGGCATGGGGGGCAAGGATCCCGCGCAGGACTGTCCTAGGCTGCCTAGACCAGGAGGCTGCTGGGCCCAGCCCCATCCAGCCACAGGCAGTGGCCCGGGGGCCTCCTGCCCACCTGGGTCCCCGAGGTGACGCCGACCCCTTCCCCAGGTGGCTCAGACAGAGGCCTCCTGCCAGAGAGCACAGGGCGTCTACGTGAGTGCCTCAGTCCTTTATTAGTTCCCTCAGCTGCCTGCTGGTGCCACCACAGTTCTCTGTGCCCGGAAACCATGCAGGAAAAATGCATCCCCTGGAAACCCTGCCTGCGTGAGGCTCGGCCTGTGATGGTAAACCTGTGTCAGGCTGAGACACAGGCTCTGGCTTCCCGACCTGGGGTGAACAGAGGGGTCCAGGGTGGACCAGGCCCCTTCAGGAGGGCAGTCAGGTCCAGCGGGGGGCGGGGGCATGAGGGGCGCAGCCACCGCCTGGCAGGTCTGTGTGCACTGAGGTCATAGGAGGGGGATGGCGAGGCCACTGGGGACTGAGTTTGGAGAGGGGGTGAGGTGGCCCTGGGGGACCCCCTGGCAAAGTGTGCTGATCGAAGTGAAACCGAGTTTCCTATGTCTGTTTTCAGTCCCGGGCACATGCACTGGGCAGGAGCTCCACGCCTGGCTGCACTCCTGGCCTGCACTGCAGCAGGGTTTCACTGAGCTGCCCAGGCTTCACTGTGCCACTCTCCTGCCTCAGCCTCCACAGCAGCTGGGATTACACACCACCGCACCTGCCTACTTCCTATTCTCCTGATTGCAGCTCCCTGAGGATGGTTCTCAACAGGTGCATTTCATCTTTGGGGTAAAATACCACCTGTCTGGAATGTGACCCCCGGGAAAGGCTACTATCCCTGGGGGTAGGGAGGTGGCCCTGGCACCAGTGGGGAGGTCGTCCTATGGGGGTGCTGGTGTCAGTGTGGATGGTCAGGCAGATGTGACCTGGCCTGGAGGGAGGAAGGGGGCTGTCCTCACTCGGCCCCGGTGGGGCTGGGATGCTCCTGTGGGCATGGAGGGTGTGACTGGTGCTAGGCCTGTGACTCCAGCCGGGCTACGGCCTGCTTCAGGTCCTGCACGGCAAGATCCACGTCAGCCCGGGTGGTGCTGCGGCCTACACTGAGCCGGAGCGCATTCCTGGCCAGGTCCCAGGGGACGCCACAGCTGAGCAGCACCGGAGACGGCCTGTGGAGGACAGTGCCACTGAGAGGGCAGCCACAGGACGCAGTGTCCCTGCATCCTTCCAGTTGGGAGACTTGCTGTCCCTTCTCTTGGCCCAGAGCCCCTCGCCTTGGCCTCGGCACCCCTCAACCAGGCCTTCATGGGCCTGTGCTTCCCCAGAGGGAGCATGGAAGCCCCCAGAAGGGCGCCCCCTCCCAAGCCTCCTTGTACGGCGCTGCCGCTGGCATCCTGCACAGCCTCGGTTTCCTCGCTCAGAGTTGCTCCTCACGAGTCCTCTCCTGGGTGGTGGTGAGGAGAGCGATCGCTGCACACCCCATCTGGAGCGACCGCAGGCCCATGGCTGTCCCTGCCTCCACCTGAGCACAGGCAGTGTCCACACACACTCACCGGTCCCCGTGGTCCGAGTGGCATGAAGCCCCCACGCTGGCCAGCAGTGCTCGGCAATGGGCCAGCACCAGGTAGCCTGCGGAGACAGCACCACACTGAGACCCAGGGTTACCCCCCCCCCGCGCCTCCCCCAGGACAGCAAGGGCCCTCAGCAGAGCCCAAAGACAAGGCTCTCTTGCCATGGCCAGTTACTACCCTGCCTTGTCAACCTGGCACTTCTGAAGGTCACCTCTGAGGCCAGGCAGGAGCCCACAGCGGGGTGTGGTTCAGTGACCACTATGAAGAAAGCAGCCATCTCTGTCACACTGAGTGGACAACAGCCACCCTGGATCTGGTGGGGGACAGAGGGTGCCGCCCCTTCACGTAGGAAGGCTGGTGAGAGGGCTGGAGCCTCAGCTTCCTTTCTGAGGACATGCAGTTCCATTCCTGGCCTCCAGTTAGGCTGCACACCAGTGACTCCCCAAGCTCCTGCAGGACCTCTATGGGACCTGGGATGTACAAAGTGTCCTCTCCTGGGGCCACGGCCACCCATTTGGGGGCCCCACATTGGGCCCTGGCCTGTTGCTGGCTGGAGAGCAGGGTCCAACTGCTTGTGAGGTGTTGTCTGGTGCTCTCTCCCTCCTTGTGAGCTGCCAGAGCCATGGCCTCTCTGGTCCCTTCCACTCATGAAGGTCATGAAAGTGCTGCTGGGAGCTGGGTGGTTCTGTTTCTTCCCGGACTACTCACCCCGGACCTGTGACTGAGCACCATCCCCTCTTCTAGTCTTTGTGGATGTGAGGTACGCAAGGCAGGGGCCAGCGGCCAGCGGCAAGGCCCCTGAGGCAGCTCTCAGGTATCAGCTGGGACCCAAACTCAAGTCCATGGGGAGGAGAGGCCAGGCAAGCCATGTGCTCACCTTGGAGCTGGGGTCCTCGGATGGAGAAGTTGCAGGTGTTGGGGAGGCGCTCGGTGCCCGGGAAGCAGCTGTTTAGGTGGATTCTCCTCTGGCCAAATTCGGCCTGTGGAACCAGAGAGGGTACAACGTGAGCCCTCTGTGCCTGAGGCCCCTTCCTAAACCCCGATCCTCCTCCTGTCCCATGCCAGGCCCCTCCACTCACCTCCAGCCTCTCCTCCAGGTAATCTCGGATGTCCCGCATGTGGGCCTCATAAGCCTCGCAGTTCTCAGTCACCAGCTCTGCGGCCTGGGGACACAGACACGGGGCCCAGGGGACCTGCTCAGTGGATGGGACACCACTGGCCATGGTGTGGAGGGCGGCAGGAGGCCCCTGAGGATGTGTCCCAGAGCCTGCGTCAGATGCAGGGAACAAGGACAGGAAGAGGCTGATGGATCTCCCAGCATGAGGCGAGGACCTGGGGGGTGGAGCCACCCAGCCCATCTGGGCCCCAGGGAGGTCAACAAGAGGCTGCAACAGTGGACAGGGGTCCTGGGAGAGGCCCTGGCTGGTACTGTGGTCAGGGACATGCGTGCATGTGTGTGCACAACTGTGTATGCACATGCGTTGGGGGGCTGCTCCCAAGGGGCACACGGAGGGCAGAGCCGCTGGTGGGCACCACAGGCAGAGGACTCCAGGGTAGGCAATGGGCAGCACAGGCTTGGTGGCCGCTGAGGTGCAGCAGGGGAGGAAGAGGCCGTGGTCCAGGGCTCAGCAACAGGGAGGGAGGCCTGGCAGATGGCTGTGAGGACCCAGGGCCCAGACGGAGCAGGGCAGGGGTCTTGGGAGGGTGCTGTGAACTGGGCGCCCTATGGGGACGCGACCCCAGGCCACAGTGGGCAGAACCTTGAGCCAGACCTTGAACCCAGAATTTTACAGCCAGGGTCCCATTGTCCCTGCTCATGTGGACCCCACTTATGGCCTTAGGCCTCACAGCAACACCCAAAGCAGCTGGCCAGTAAGTGCCGGCTGGGGTGGCTCGGGGTACAGCGCTGCTATGGTGTTCAACCACCAGCACCCTGCGCCAAATGCCACTCTCCTGCCAGGAGAAACTGAGACAGGCAAGGCCGAGCCCTTGGCTGCGGCAGGGTGGAAGGTGGGACACAGGGAACAACGGGCAGAAGAGGAAGCGGGCACGAGACAGGGCAGTGGCCATGAGCAGTGCCTGACTTCTAGGCACCACCCCACCTGTGCAGTCCCCACTGGAGGACAGGAGAGCATAGGGCCCAGGGTGCACAGCCTGCACCAGGCCGCAGTGGTCTCCCATGCTGCAGACCCCTGGGGGCCGAGCCAGCAGCACAGAGTCTGCGTTGTGCCAAGGACAGTGCTGCCATCGGGAGGGACTGGCTCAGGGAGCTTTTCCTTCTCCCAGGGCCTCTTCTCTGTGCTACACCCACAGATTGTTTTGATTTTTGAGACCAGGTCCCACAAAATTCCTAGGTTCCTAAGTTCCTGGGGCTGGGATCCTCTTGCCTCAGCCTCCCGGAGTGCTGGGATTACAGGCGTGCACGTCTGGCTGACCCTTTCCCTTTCAAGGCCAAGCATGTGCCGCCCGCCCTAATGATCTCAAGGAATGAGGTTCTCTGGGCCAACACAGGAAACCCAAGTCTTCTCCTGTCCTGACTGAGCTCTCCAAAGCCTGGGTCCCCCAGTGCCCTGGGGAGGGGCCGTGCATGGCCTTACCTTCCCGAGGCCGGCAATCATTGGGGTGTTCTCTGTCCTGCAGGAGACAAGGGTTACGTGGTATGAGCAGACGTCCAAGGAGGGGTCCTGTCCAGGTGGAAGCCACATGGTAAAGAGCCCGCACCACCCCTCCTGGACCAGCACTGCAGCCGCCCCCAGCAGTGTCCACCCCGCCCTGGGTAGTCCTTATGGGTTGACACAGGCTGGTGTGGACAACGATCGGGATGGGGCAGTGTGGGGCGGGAAGAAACTGGGCATGGACTGCACCAGTGCCAGCAGAGGGCAGTGGTGCTGGTGTGGGCAGGGGTGTGTGTGCCCGGCCCGCACGTGTGCAGGAGGGGTCTGCCACAGCGAGGGCCAGGCCTTCACTGCAGGACAGAACACACAGTGGCCTCATTCTTCCTCATGGTCAGTCCCAGTGAACCGATTTCCTGGGCCTCCAGCTGCTCACACTGGTCAGAAGGCGACCGTCCCCTTGTGTCCCTGTGCCAGGTCCCTGGCAGTCCCGCTGGCCACAGCGCCCCCGGCCTCCTCCTCACGCTCTTCCTTGGTGAAACATCTGTTAATATCTTCTGCCTGTTGAGTTTTCCCCGAGTTCTTTGTATGTCCAGTGTGACAGTCCTGTCAGGTCCGTCAGGTGGAAACATATCTTCCTAGCACTTAGCCTGTCCTCCCGTCGCCTCAGGTCTCTTGTGGAGCTTGTCCCGCTCTGAGGACGCCTGAGCTACCTGCACCCTGCACTGGGCGCTTCTGTGTCAGGGCCAGGAGCACTGCCTGGCTGTAGATCCTGATGGTTCCCGGGGTTGTGTCCCCGTAAGTGTTATGCTCTGGGCTTTATGTGGAATTTCATGACTGCTTTGAGTTAATACTTTATCAGCTGTAAGACTTAGGCCAAAGTTCACCTTCCCCCACACTGGCACCAGCACTGAGATGGGTTCGTTCCAGCACCAACCTGACCAGCATTTGTCCGAATCACTGGGTGCTCTTCCTGCCCAACGCTACTGTGCCCTCATCTGCCTGACCACGGTTGTGGAGGCTGCAGGGGTAAGCAGCAGCCTGGAGAGAACGGACGCCCACAGAATGTGGTTTGTCTCTTTTATTTACGTTTTTTATTTCTTTCATCCACACTGTGTAGTTTGCAGTGTATAACACCTGTATTCTTTGTTCAGATCTGATGTTTTATTGTTTTTTGTTTTTGTCTTTTTGAGACAGGGTCTCACTATGCAGCTCAGGGTGGCGTTGGCTCACTTTGTAGCCCAGGCTGGTCTCGAACTTACAATAATCCTCCTGCCTCAGCCTTTCAGTGCTGGAATTACAGGGGTGCACCACCATGCCCGGTTATTGCAAATAGTTTTTATTCTATGGTCTATCTGTTCATTACTAGTACACAAAGACCCAAGATTTAAAAAATATCTTGTGCCCATGACCTTGCTATAGTCATTTATTCGTTCTAGACGACACCCGGCCTATTCCTTGGGATCTTCCTCACCATCATGGGCTCAAGTGGTTTGGCTAGGGGTAGATTTACTTCTGTGATGCAGGGTTGAACCGGGGTGCCGGTGCTACCTCTGCCGCCTCCCTCTGCCTTTCTCACCTGTCTGCTTTTGCTCCTTGTTCCTGCCCTATGGCACCGATGACAGGACCACCAGCGCCGTGTGGAGCAGGTATGTCCCTCAACAGAGGCTGAGCACTTGGGGCTCCACACGAAGCATGACATTGAAGCCAAGCTTTAGGCAGGCGCTCCCTGCGCTGGGAAATTTCCCTCTAACCCTACTATTCTGAAAGCTCTTAGCATGAATGGGAGTGGGTTTTTCTCAAGTGCTTCTTCTGCTTCAAATCACAGGATGGCGTTATTTTTCTGTATGCGGCCCTGCAGTTTAGTTAAAAAGCATTTTCCACGAGGCTCGTGTGTCCTGAGGTGGGGTTTCTAAGGGCGACTGGATCACAGGAATGGATCCTCGTGGAGGAAGATCAGGCACTGACCAGATTTGAGCTGCATGGGCCGTGACAGGCGGGAGGGAGCCCAGTGTCCCACAAGGGCGTGGCTTCCTCACTCACTTTGTGCCCCAGTGTCAAGGGGCCTGCTGCCCTCGTCCACCAGGCCACCTGCCCTGGAGCAGCTGCCCAACCACTGAAACCTCAAGGAACCCTCAGCCAAAATCAGCCTTTCTCCGCTCAGCTGTGCCTGACAGGATTTTACCTCAGTGACAGAAAGCTGAGAACAGGCTGACTGCACGGGTTAAACTCTGTGTCCTGACCCAGCCTGTCGCCCCTGGGGTAAAACCCACTTGTCTTGCTCGTACACATGCACTTCGTTACATACACTGGATTCAACTGTTGATGTCTGGGGAAAGACTGCCCCTAAGCACGAGGTTAGGGATGTTCATCTCGTTTGTTCTGGTACTGGTTTTGTGTTGGTTTCAGGGTAATACTGGCTCCTAAAACGCGATGCAAAGCATTCTCTCTTGTTTTCTGAAGGACAGGGCATGGAAACTGTGGTAGTTCTGTCAACACCTGGCAGAATTCTCTACTTCTCTGAGACTGCTATTGGGGGGAGTTTAAAAACTACAAATTCAATTTACAGACAGTTATAGCTATTCAAGTAGCCTGTTTCAAAAAAAGAAAACCAACCTGTCTTGTATGCAGCGAGCTGCGGGAGTCTGTGCTTTGGTAGCAGTGTGTCTATCACGGAAGCGTCCACCTGCTCTGTACAGGGTTGTCTGTTGCACCTTTGCTCCCCACACGCCCTCCTTCACTACTGCCCTGTTTTCCTCTTGTCAGGTGTTTTTTCCTCTTTTTGAGAAGGTCTTGTTATGCAGTCCAGGGTGGCCTTGAACTCACAGCGATCCTTTGCCTCAGCCTCTGGAGCACTGGGATTACAGGAGTGCGCCACTGGCTTCCTCTGTCAGTTTTGCTAGAGATTTGTTAGTTTTATTGAAGGTTTTTCCTTTTCCCTTCCCTTCTCTTACTTTTTCAAGTGGTGGGGATGGAACCTCTGGAACGCTGAGCTGCACTCCCAACTATAAATTTTCTAACTTTTCCCCCAAAGAACCAGCTCTGTTCTGCTGATTTATTTTCCTGTTGCCAATCGCACCAATTCCTGCTTGTGTCACCTCCTCCTGCATCCTGGGTTCCCGCTGCTCTTCCTTTCCTGGGACTCTGGGCCTGACTAATCCGAGGCCTGGCTACCCAGGTCACCCTGGGCTGGGTCTGCGGCAGAAAAGGTGCGTCGTTTGCATTTTTACTCGGTTCACTGTGTCTCATTTTTCTCTCTGCTTGAGGTTACTTAGAAGTGTGCTTCTTGTTTCAAATGTTCTGGAATCTTCTGATCGCCTGCCCTTTGCACAGCTTGATTCTTCTGTGGTGGCAAACAATGAATGCTGACCATGGGCTGAAGCGGGAGCCACAGTGGCCCCTCCGTCCTGCTGGGTACAGTGGCCCAGCGATGAGGGAGTGACCAGGACACCAGGGAACCCGCCAGCCAGCTGTTCCCAGCTCTCCCTCTGGTCACGGAGTCTCTGACAGTGCGGTGCTGGCACCAACTGACTCCTGCCTAAGACGTCACATGGGCACAGGAGCTGGGCAAGGAGGCCAGGTGCTCCGAGGCTGGCTGAGCCCAAAGACAGGTGCGGGGCACAGGATAACAAGAGGTGCTGGGTGCCCAGGAATAGTGACACTGGTCCTGACTCAGTGGTGACTGTACCGTGCCATTCCAGTGCCACCAAGAGACAGCGAAGCAGCTGATGTCACTGACCCCACACGATGGCACGGCAGCAGGTCAGAGACGGTCAGCCGTGTACCTACCCTGGCCTGAAGTTCCGTTCCTGGCCACCTCCAAACAGCATGGGGTACAGGGGCGTCAGTTTGCCGAGCCCTCGCACGTACAGCGCCCCGATCCTTGGGCCATAGAACTACAAGGAAATGTCAGTTACTGGCAGAGAACTCTCTGTGAGCCTCCCTGGTTCCCAAGCTAAGTCTTAGAGGCCGGGAACAGCACAGGACTGCCCTTGGCCTCATGTGGCCCCGTGGCTCCCACCAGCCAGGGTCGCAGTGATCCTTGTCGAAGGGCAGCAGTGCACTTGTCTTGCCGGCCCTGGCTCACAGCTGGGTGCCTCTCCATGGAGGAGGCTCCCCCCCGCCCCGGATTGGGTGAGTGCTGCACACCCACCTTGTGGCCCACGATGGTCAGAAAGTCCACGCCCAGGTCCTCCACATCCACACGCCTTTTCCCCAGCACCTGTGCGGCGTCCGTGTGCAACAGCACACGGGGCAGCCCTGAGGCTGCCCGGCTCCGGTTCAAGGCTTTCACACGCTGGCTGATTTCAGAGACCGGCTGCAGGGAGATAAAGGGCTGGGAATGCGGCCTGGGGCAGGGGACAAAGGGAAGACTCGAGCTCCCGCATAGGGACCCGTAGGTGGCTTACCATGACTACTCCAGTCTCATTGTTGGCCAGCATGATGGTCACCAGGCTGGTGGTCGGGCGCACAGCAGCCAGGACGTCATCCACCTCTGCCTTCCCACTCACCTTGGACACTGGTACAAAGGTGACGTCTAGGACGCAAACACACAGATCAACACCAGCCTCACGAGTAAGCTTCGCACTGATGTCTCTCCAAGACTGTAAAAGCTTATTTTCAATGTTTGGAAGAGGGTAAGGAGGAAGGACAGTGAGCCACCGTTGCTGTGCGGAGAAGCTCGGGCCAACAGTGGAGATGGGGCACCAGGTGCTGCAAGTCAAAGCCGTGATGATGAGACACGCCATGCACTGCATAGCCACAACGGGAAGAATGGCAAGACTGGGGACACAGCTTAGTGTCACACGCGCCTTCCTGGCAAGTGCAAGGTCTGCAGTTTGATCCCTGGTACAAAAAAAAAAAGCCAACACATGCAAGGAAGGAGAACGGTAGAGCAGGACCCTCGTACACTGCTAGTGAAACATAAATTGCTGCTGCTGCTACCTTGGGGAGCAAAGGTCAAGTTAAATCACAAAGTTATCCTGGAACGGGCCTGTATGTTAACCTATGAGCCAGAAATGATGCTCATGGGCACAAACCCCAAAGAAAGAGCAACTGTCCACAAAATACCTTAACACAGCAGGCACAGCTTTTCAGGAGGCTGAGGCACTCAAGCGTGGTGGGTTGGGAGTAGCTTGGGCAGCACAGTGAGACCTTTACACACATTATAAATATTGCCCAAAAAAGCAAAAAACCCTTACTAGCCATGAGCTGATGAATGAGAAAATAATCGTCACACATTCATACAAAAGATGGCGGTTTATCCGTAGAAGGGACGCTTCCCTCAGTGCTAGCTTGGCCTCTGCCCACAGTCCTGGTGTTCACTCACCGGCCACCTGCTCCTCCACCAGGTGCTCCAGGGGTAGACGGATGGAGTCGTGCTCCACGGTGCAGGTGACGATGTGGGGCCTGGCCCCCTCCCCGGGGCTCTGCTGCTCTCCCTGGTCCCCTCTGGGCCCCTGTGTTTCCTGGAAGTGCTTCACTGCCGAGTGGATCACTAAGTTATTCGACTGCAGAGACAGAGCAGAGAGAGGACTCAGCACCATCCAGGGGAAAAAGCTGGAACACCCTGTCACTTGTTCACATCTTTGGTGTCTCATGCTCACAAAGAAAACAAAAAATCAACCCTCAAGAAGTGCAGCCAGGGCTGTGCTGTCATGAAGCAGCCCAGGCAATGCGCTCCGCTAACCAGCTCCAACACCAACCAGCACCTGGGCCCTCGGGGGCCAGCAGATAGCTCGGCTGAAGGCTGCGCCCTGAGCACCAACCACACTGGCACTGAGGGCCTGACAGCATCTCCAATTCAGAATGCAGCAATTCTGAACTGCGAGGGTTTCGAGGCCATGCACTGGTCCTTCCAGTCAGGAGGCCCACTGAGTTTGAAGCCAACCTGGGCTAGTGAGCTGAATGCCAGCCTGAATTACACAATGAGACTTTGTCAAAAACTCAAACCCAAAACAAAACAGAACACCACTCCCCAAAAAGAAGCAAAGGAAACACTTCTACACAGGGACTCTGAAGAGTCGTGGGAAGAGCCGGGCTTTGAGGACCTGGGTGGCTGTAGTGGCCCTGAAATCCCAAGGAAGGGGTCCTCTGGTCACACAGGAACTGAGGGTGCAGTGATCTGAGGCACAGTGACATCCTTGTCCTATGGCCGAGGAGACACACAGGAGCATGGGGCCAGGAATGCTGGGGCCTGACCCGTGCAATGTGCCCGCCCAGAGGTGGTCCCCACCCTGACCAATGCAGAGCAGAGACACTGTGTGTATCCAAGTCTTCCCAGGGCCTGTCCCTGTCACCCAGGCAGCAAATGCAGCCTCCGCTTGCCTTCCCGCACATGCTGCTGCTTCCCTTGTGACAGAAGTCGGCACGCTTCCCCTGGTGGCCAGTGCTGTCTGTCCTTGGAGAAGCCTTGGTCACTGCCACATCTCCAGGACAGGAACTCGTCGCCCACCAGGTTTAAAAATGATCACTCACAAGCTGGTCCTCCCTCCTCCTGCAGCTTTTTCTGAGTGCATGGTGAAGCAGAAGTCCAGTGACTTCTCTGAGTGGCCCTGCCTGGCCTGTCCACTGGATGGCTGTCCCCTCGACCACACAAGGGCTTGCCTGTCTGTCATCCGACTTCCAAGAGAGAGGGCTCTGTTACAACTGTGCCAGGCAACAGCTGGCCCGGGGCCGGCCTGGCCAGCATGGTGCACAGTCCCCTTGGGCGGGCGGCATGTCCACCTCACCTAGTTGTCCACCCCACCAGGTGATGTGTGCTCCAGGCAGTTGCATATCCACCACCATGCAGGGTCTCACCACACTCCTCCCGGATGCCTTGAGCACTCCGGGGCTTTGGTGTTGCTGTGAATGAGTTTGCAAGATTCAACTACAAAGGTACCAGGTATCACTCTGTCCTAAAAACCAGTGACAGTACTGCAGGCAGCCACTTCCTGCTGGACTCACCTCAGTGCCCCCGGAAGTGAACACAATGTCCTCGGGCTTCCCGCCCAGCATACGCGCCAGGGCCTCCCGTGCTGTGCTGATGATGTCCTTGGCCTTTCGACCTTGAGGGACCAAAAGAGAAGCTGTCACCACCACCTGCAGGCACACATCACACACTGAGGCACCCACAGCCAAAGGGAGGTTAGGACACTGATGAGGGCACCAGCCCAGGGAAAGCAGCAGTGTTAGTGCTCAGTGACGGCCACCAGACTCGAAGGATGCCATGGGAGCCACACAGAAATTGGGGGGAGGGCGAGACCTTCCTCTTACCAAATGCAAGAGGAGAGGGACACTGTACTCGCCTGCTGGGAGAAGGGAAGAACACTGCAGCACAACAGCATAGGTCCCGCTCGGGCTCAGACTCCAGCTATAGCTGGCCTGGGGTTGCCCTCACTATGTAGCCCAGGCTGGCCTCAACCCGTGGTGCTCTTCCTGCCTCAGCCTCCCAAGCGCTGGGATGATGGAGAGCACCGCCATGCCCAGTACTACCCAATCTTATTTGTAAAACACTTGAGAAGGCAGGCGCTACCAAAAAACATATTATAAAACATCAAAGTATACATGTAAAAAATTTAAAAATATGCAAAGCATTTCTCAAAGTGTCTAGCATCAGGGCCAGCCGACAGTGTGTTAGTTTGTGATATCAGCTTTAACCAGCACTGCCTGCAGCTCCTGTCAAATGTTTGCTGAGGCCCAGCTGCTGGACGCACCCAGTCTGCTACCCTGGGGGTCACCTCCCTGCTACCACCTTCCCAGGGATGTCACCACTCTTTGAGTGTGACGCCCAGCCCAGACTTGTCCTGAGCCCTGGGAATCTCTGGTCCCTTCTCCCTTCCTCCATGGTGCTGGGACTGAGCCCGACCAAGCTACATCCCCGGCCCTTTCCCTAGTCCCTACTTCGAGACAGGGTCTCGATCAATTGTTACGCTGCCCAGGCTGGGTGTTAACTTAGGGTCTTCCTGCCTCAGCCTCCAGAGGGCGGGGATCATAGGCAGTCCAACTGCAGTTATGGCAGGAGGGGTCTGAGCCTTCCCTCTGTGCCCAGCCAGGGCCCCTGGTGCTGAGCTGGCTCTCCCGGACCGTGTGCTGCTGAACAGCAGTATCCAGATGGGACTGGCCACACATGGTGGGCCAGGTAGGGTCCACAGGGGCAGGCGCACACCCAAAAGGAACAGCAGGGGGCAGCATGCCAAAGGCCACTGCACTAGGCTGCCGGGGTCCCAACACCCACCCAGTGGTACAGCTCTCAGTTCTAGCCAGCCAGGCTGCTGGGGATTAAGACTTAACCTGTGGCCATGGACCCAAGCTCTGGATACAGTGTCCCATGCACCTGCTAGATATGTCCTTTTATGACGCAGGCACACCTTTCTCCCTCCCACAGGCATGATGTGGCGCCATGCTGACATGATGGCTTGGACTAGAGCAGCCACCCTGATCACAAGGGTTGGAAGTACTCCAAGGACAGAGGGGAAGGTAGGGTGAGCCCATTCCTGGTAATGGGAGCACATCACAGGTCCCAACTGAGTGTGAGAAACCACCAGCAGCTGTGTGGGCCACCGTTATTCTGGGCTGTGTCTCTTATGGCAAAACTCTGCAAAATTCTTTCCATACTTGCCCAGCCACACGCTTTTATAAGAGGTTCTCAAGAGGGGGCGGGTACTGAAATGAAGTGCTGGACCCTAGGGGGCTGCACAGTGCTGAATAATCAGCTGGCGACTGACCAATGCCAAGCTTGCCCAGTCTTCATTTTTCCCTACTGTAAGCAAGGTTGTGAATCACATCACAGGTTTCAAGAATCTTTCTGCATGGCCTTGATATCTTCCTTAAGATCAGCCCCGACTGATTACTCTCTCGAGTGTCCAGTTTAACACGTCGGGAGTCTCAGGGGCCCCACGGAGGTTGCTGACATGGAGCAGCCATCTTTGTCAGGGGGTCAGGGAAGCTGTGCCTCACCCAGCTGCTGGGGAGCTTGGCCAGCAGTGGCTGTGAGCTTTGCCAGGCTCACCAGCCCCAGAATGGAGCAGGGCCTCAGGATTCACAGCTCAGGATTCACATTCCCCAGGATTTACAGCTCAGACACCTAACAAACACTCCACAGGCGAGGAGGAGCTCCAGCCTGGCCATCTGAAAACAACAGTGCTGTCCCCGCCCTGCTGATTTGGGACAAAGGAGGTGGTAAAATCTCCAGTTTCAAGCTCTATGTTAGAAGAACATATCAGAATACGAATAAGAATACTTACACTAGAATTTAAGAGTGACTTTCCCCTCTAAGAAAGGCCAGGACAGCATGTGACCCTGGCGACCTCACAGGGAAGTCTGCAGGTTGTGACAGGTGTGCATGGCCTTGGGCTGAGACAGTTTATCTGAGATCTTTATCAGAGACCTTTCATGCCTGGGCCAGGGTGACAGGAGTGCATGTTAAAGATTACACTCTAGAAGTTCCAGGTGGTGGCATCCACACCTGGACTTCTCAGATAAAAGGAAGACCAAACCCCACAGCCAGACTCCCAGTTAGCAGAGAGTTCGGGACCCAGGCCCACCCTGCTGGGATTACCTGCCGGGTAGGGGCTGCTGGGGTTCCCCCAGGCTTCCTGCATGGCCTCCGTCATGACCTGGATGACCTCTGGCTCCAGCGGTGTGGTCGCATTGTAGTCCATGTATACCTGCCTGTGGTGGGAAAGCGGGGCACATAGGAGTGCTGCTGGGGATCGCATGGGGGTGGTGCTCAGGGCTCCCTCCTCCACGGGACTTGGAAGCATGTCTTCTAACAGTCTACTCCTGGCTTGCCAGTTGTGGGTTTTTATTGTTGTTTTTCTTTTTGGGAGGTTAAGGTCTTCCTATATAGTCCAGGCTTGAACTCTCTGTGTAGCCAAGGGTGGCCTCCAACTTCAAGTGATCCTCCTGCCTCAGCCTTCCAAGTACTGGGATTACAGGCAGGTGCCACCATACCCGGCTGTCAGTTGTGTTTCCACACATGCAGAAGTTCACAATTTCTCCCTCCCACAGGTAGGACTAGAGCGTGTGGGCCCAGATTACCCTCCCAAGAGAGCAGCATGTCCTCAGGAACTTTTTGTGGGCTCCCAATCTCCACCAGTAGCTTTTCTTATTCCCTGGTCCAAGGCTCCAGGGCTGTGGGCGTCCATTTCCTGCCCAGGCCTTCTCTTAAGGTGGCCTTACCTAGAATGACGCCACTGCACCTGCGGTTTCCATGTTGTGCTCCCTGTCCCCTCCCAGCATCTGCCCTCCTATCCCCAGACAGCACTGTCATTGAGGAAAGTTTCTCTGGGACCCTCATCACCAGTACCAGAAACCTGTAGTCCTACCTCCCTGAGGGAACCTCACCTGATACCAGCCACTGTTTTACTTGGTTTTAAGGTCAATGGCCTGTAAAGCCACCCACACGAAAACACAAGAACAATTATTAATGGCAGCTGGAGACTGGAGGGGGAGGGGACGGAAAAAGAATCACGCTGTGTTATGCACATGGAGCAGGTCCCCTCTATGAATGTCACTGTCCCATACTACAAACAGCTGATAACAAAATTCTTTTAAAGCTAGAGACCAGGCACAATATGTGCATTAATTTGCTCTGCCTTTGCTCTGGGCCACACAGAGCCCTGAGCCACGGTTCCAGACTAGTACTGCATGGGTCTTGTCTCAGCACCATAAATAACTAAGGGTTCCAAGCTGCCCCAAGTGACTGCTGAGCTCATCGGTGGCTCGGATGTTCAGGTTAACATGTCAGAGACAACTTCGCTCCACTGTTAGCTACTTCCTTAAAGTGCTCCCGTACTGGATGGAAAGCTCAGCCTGTCTCCACTGCACAACGCCAGGCCAAAGTGAAAGTGCAACTCACCAGGGGTTCAGATTTTAAAGTCAGACTCACAGGTGAGTATGCGCATGATCTCTCTCTCTCTCTCTCTCTCTCTCTCTCTCTCTCTCTCTCACACACACACACACACACACACACATACAAGCACAGCTCTCACATCGAACGAAGGTGTGCGCAGGGCGGTTGCACGGCCCCCTGGACTGGAGGAAGTAGATTCAAACAGGGATGAGTACAGCACCCTCAGCACAATGTGGTCACCCTCCCTCACCCACTTCCCCGTTTATCACAAGAGGTCCTTAGCCCCCACCTTCCTCCCCTGAACACCCCCACCATCTGAGATGGCCCCTATCTCCAGGAAGCAGTTGGAATTTTTAAACACAGAATTAAAACCCATAGCCTCGCCAGATCAGACCTTCACGCCCTCCTCCACCCTCGGGCGCTCCTGGCTCCCCAAGGACCCTCCCAGCTCCCCAAGGATCCTAGCTGCCCAGAGTGGGGACTTGCAGCGCTGCCGGACCCAGCTCCCGCGCCACTGAGGTCTCCGGCCTCCTGAACGTCACCTCTCAGTAGCTCTCAGGAATTCCTGGGAGACACTTTAGCCAGGGAACTCACAACCGCAGTGACAACCCCGACCCCGAGCGATCACCCTGACTCTGGACCGTCAAGATTGACCTCCGAAATCGAGAGTGCCCTCCAACCACTAATGATAACCTCGATGTCGAGAGTGACAACTCTGGCGCCAGGATGACTACCCTGATCCCAAGGGTAGTCACCCTGAACCTGACGATGACCCTGACTCCAGAAGCGACCGCCCCGACCCATACCCTCAGCCCCGCGTCGGCCCCCTCCAACACCTAGCCCGTAGCGTCCTAGGGCTCCCCACGGAGGCGCGGGCGGCTCCCTGCTCCCCAGGCGCGCACCTCTCCGACGGGCTCTTCTCTCGGCGGCCGCCGGGGTTACTCCCCGCGCGTCCTCGTCCCCGCGCGTTCCTCGCGGGTGCCACCTCCTCCATCGCGGCCTTACTCCTCCTGCCCCCTGCCCTCGGTGCACAACTTGGGGGCTCGAGAGCCACGGGGAGGCGGGGGCCACAGGCCCACATCCGGATTGGCTGAAGGGGCGCACCTCTAGTCAATCCGCTAACTCCAGAGGCGGGGGAGGAGAAACAGCAGGATGATTGGTCATGCGCGGTCAGGTGACGGCCTGGGGCACCGCCCCCACTTCCGGGAGCCTGGGCGCCCCAGTGTGCGCTAAGCGCTGCTGGCGGGTGGGTACCTGATCCCTGGCCTGGCAGCTGCGGTGCTCGCCTGCCGCTCTCCGCGTCTCCTGCGGACCGTGAGTCTTTGTGAGAGCCAAGCCATGCGTCTCCACTCTACGTTGTAAATTTGGCTTGGAGAAAAGTGCCGGGACGCGCGGTGCAAAGTTTGGCCCGGCAGCAACTGGGGTTGTGCGCGAGGCAGGGCCGGGCACCGCGCGGCGTCCCCCAAGACAGGCGCCTTGCGCACCTAGACCCAAGTGCCTACATAGAAGTGCGATTCTGCCGGCCGGGTGCCCGCCACTTCCCGGGCGATTTTGATGGGGTGAAATGAGACGGCCATTTCTTAGCTGTGTGGTGGCTAAATTGGAGTAGACAGGCGGCAGGACGGATGGGGCTGGCGACCAGGGTGTTGGTGCCTTTGTCTGGGGTGGTGGAGGAAGCCCGGATCGTCTGGGGCCCGTCGCCCCAAGCTGGCTGGGGAGAGGAGTAACCCCGAGCTTGCGTCTGATGAAGACGCCACTGCTCTGGTTTAGCACAGCTTCGGTCCTCAATCGTGAGTTGGGCCGGCACAACGAATTCACTGATTCAACTGGAGAACTCTCATTAGGTGGGCTCGCCGTCCACTTTATAGAGGGGGAAACTGAGGCACGTGAGTTCATACCAGGTCTCGCGCACGCAGGGGCGACGGGCCAGGACGGGGACTGGATGGCTAGGCTGCAGGCCGGGGTTTCACGCATCTTCTACGGGAAGTTTGACGCGGTGCCTTGGAGCTGCGTTTTTCATGTCCCCACGCTTCAGTGGGTTTATAGTGTGCATCGGGGCTGGGGATTTAGCTCAGCGGCATAAGCGCCTGCCTTGCAAGCAGGCAGTCGTGAGTTCGATCCCCGGTACTAATAAAAAGCAAAAAGACAAAAAAAAATGTATAGTGTGCATCAATTTGTTTTCGCTTTTTTCTTCAGAGGCCTCTGCTTTGCTGCGGACGTGATTACCAGGCACCCCCCCACCCACCCACCCACCCAAGCGTGCTCATTGAGGGGCTCTGGGCTGTCTCCCCGGCTGGATTTTAGGGCTTCATCTTACTGGGACCCTCAGCACCTGCAGCATCTGATCTCTCTTCGAATGGTCCCCTTCACTGATGCGGTTTTCTTCTAGCACTGAACTTCCCTCTGTTCTCCACCTCCATGAGCTGTTTCAATGCTCTTTTCGCTCTTATTTGTCATTTATTTGCCATTTCTGGGTCTCTGTTGACTGCTTACCCACCAACCACAGGCCACATTTCTCTCTCTGTGGGCTTTTCGGTTTCCTACTGAATGACACACTGCATCTTACCTGGCTGGGCTGGGACCTGTTAGACTGAAGACTGCTGCAGTCACCGTGGACTTACACGTGGAGGGGACAAGAGCCTTTACCTGGTTCTCCATAGCAGTCACATCTCTGACCACATACAGCATGCATGTTGTGTCGCCTGGTCTTCCTCAAACCACCTTGTACTTCAGTGCTGCAGGACTGGGGCTGGATTCAACCTTCCCACCGAGCTCCGCTCACATACTGGACCAGTCTCAGTGGTCACTGCGCTGCCCAACCCAGGCCAGGTCATTCCTACACCCAAGCCAGTTCTCCCCAAGTGAGGAAACCTTACCTGCACTCACTTGCCTGTTACTCCCACTCCAGCTGCCCCATGTTTGAGTAGCACTTTGGATCATCGGAGAGTGTAAGTTTAACATAATCATTATCTATGACTTGTAAAAATTCCTTCTACCAGCTCCTTTGTTTGCAGAGCCTCACTCTATACAGATGGTTTTTATTCACCTGGCTTCCGCTGAGATCTTGATTTCACTTTCCCAAGAGCAGTGTTGGACTCAGAGCTCATGACTGGCAGCTGCTTTCTTGGGCATGGCATTGGGCCCCTGCCCCTCCTGCTGCTCTCCTGGCTGCCCTCTTGGTGCTTGCAGGGGACGCACTCACTGTGACCATGGCTGTGCTGTCCTCCTGGAATGTTTCCTGACACCATGCTGGGCAGCCCCCCACCCCAGCCCCTATGCTGTGGAGCCTGCTCTGTGGACTAAACTGGGCCAGAATGAACTTTACCTTCCCTAAACTGTGGGTGCTGCATCTCGGTGCCAAGGAATGACAGTGCCAAGTCCCCCAGGTCAGTCTCCTTGGCCAGGAAGCCTCGGTCCATGTTAGTTGGTTGTCTGAGTGCAGCTGCAGCTCCTCACAGCTGGTCAACCTCAGCCTCAGCCTCGTCAGAGGGCATGGGAGCAATGCAGGGAACTGGGGTCACCAGGTGGACATTAAAACAAGGTGCAGGTGGGGGCTGGGGATTTAGCTCAGCGGCATAAGTGCCTGCCTTGCAAGCAGCCAGTCGTGAGTTCCATCACTGGTACCAATAAAAAACGAAAAAGACAAAAAAAAAAAAAAAAAAAAAAAAAAAAGGTGCAGGGACTGAGATTGCAGCGTGGAGCTGGGACATGGAACCCCTCTGCTCCAAGGGTGGGGAGGCCTACCCTCCTGTCACTCACGCCTGTGTGGCAGCCACAGAACCCTGTAGCCATGCCCTAAGCCCTGGTTGCAAGCCATCTGTCCACCTGCACTGGGAACTCTTATCCCCAAGGAGCTGACAAGAGCTTACAGGAAAAGCTCGAGCTTGGAGTTTCTGGCAGTGAACAGAGGGACATGAGGCCACAGTTTTAAGAGTTCTTTCTACAGATGCACAGAAACAAATTCTCGCACACTTCACAAATCCACGGTCTGCAGATGTTACCCTCCAAGGTGGTTGGTTTCTTTGAGATGGGCGTGTGGCGTGGCCCAGGTAGGCCCATAATTTATGATCCTCCTGCCTGAGGCCCCTAGTGTTGGATTACGGGTGAGCACCACAGCACATGGCTACCACGCAGCTTCCCATGGCCCCCAGTCAATACTCTGAAAACAGTAAATGGGAAAGCAGAGCCAGTTCGAGGCCCACATGTGCGCAGCAAGGGGTGGCTGTCCTGCCTGAGCCCCTCAGAGGCTGCTCTGCAGCCTGCTGCCAGTGCACGTGTATTGCGCAGGGAGGGTCAGAGGTGCCAGCCTGCTTCTTGGGGGAGGGCTAGTCCACGGGCCAGTGCTCTGAGCAGTGGGTCACCGGTGAGCAGGCTGACTGGAAGCAGCAGACCATGGGTGGGAGCCTAAGCAGATGTTCAGGGGGTCCAGCTGCCCAGGGCCAGCCTCTGAACCACCCAAATCCCACTAGGACAGGTCAGTTGGGAGTGTGTGGCATGGAGCCCAGAGGCCAGAGCTGGGGGCTGAGCCTGGCTGTGCTGCAGGGCAGGGAGGGCAGCCTACCTCTGGATTTCTGCTCGATAGAATGGATGACTCAGTTACCTGGAAATCCTTTTAAGGCAGGGCCTTACTGGGTAGTTCAGGCTGGACTTTAGCTCACAGTGACCCTCCAGCCTCAGTCTCCTGAGTGTTGGGATCATAGTGGCAGATGCCACTGCACCTGGCTTTGAAATGTCACTTTAAAGGAGTTACTATCTGAAAATGAGGGGATTTCTCTACAGCACAAACACTGCAGTGAGAATGAGGGCCTGGTGTTCTGCCGAGTGTGGTCCAGAGTGCAGTCTTTTACCCGCATGGAACACATCTGACCACAGCACCACAGGCCCTGCTACCCTTTCTTCTACAGCCAGAAAGGTCCACCGGAAAGGCCCAGCCCAGGGTATAGGAGTGGAACTGCAGTGGAAGAGGGTGTCTCGGGGATTGGCTAGAAATGTGGGTTCCTGTCTGCCCTGCCTTTCCTGCCGTGCACCAGCTTCAGACCATTGCCAGACCCCAGCTGTGACGCACACAATTCCTGACCTGAGCAGGAGCAGGGACCGCACTGCCACCAGGGCCAGGTTCATCTTGCCATCAGGTCTCAAGAACAGCAAGTGGATGTAGGGGCTGGCAGCTAGGAGGCTGCAGTGGCTATGAGTGTCAGGTAGGCAGCAAATGCAACCAGACAATTTATTCCACATTTGAGTTCATGGTTCAATGTCTAAATGCTTCCTGTGGGCAGGGCTTGCCTCTGGATGAGCTAACTTAGCTGAGCACGGAACCAACCTGCAGGTTCCCCTACCCCCAGCCCTCAGGCACACAACCCAGGGACTCGGCATCAGGCTGCAGTGGGCCCATCACAGATCTCTCGGGAAGAAGGCCTGGCACCGTGACAAGCAGCTACTGACTCCAGTCCTGTGACCACTTCGGGACAACTAGCCCCTGCCTGGTCCAGGATGCCTGTGGGAAAGGCCCCCTGGCTTTTTGACTGGTATCACTCACATGAGCGTCCACTCACATTGGGGCTCCAAGGTGTCCCGGCACCTGAGGACCCAACAGCATGAACTGGTGTCCATGAGCCAGGCCCAGCTGTGTCTGGACAGAATGGGCCATGTGGCTTTCAGAGCTTGTTTGTATTTTTGTCGGTGTTGCTCAACCCCACAGCCTTCTGTCTGCTCTTTATAATGAACATACAAACTAAGTAGAAAAAAATAAAAGCATTAAATTGTACAAATTACAAATCTGTTCCAAAATATACTTACATTAAATAAAATGCACATTTCAGTAAGAGCTACAGTGAATGACTAGGCATTCAGGGAAGCTTCACATCTAGGCAGGGCCAACATTCATGGAGGAAGCTAAGAGGATGTGTGTCGGTCACAGTGTGTGCGGCTCTCGCTGCCCACCGTGAGGACACTGGATGCATCATCATCACTGTGCGGGGGCCAGCACACCACCCACCTGGGCAGCACAGTTTCGGGGGCAACATGTTAAGGGAAGCAGACAACGCTCAAGAGCCCGACACACTTTCGTGCTGTATTTATGCTGTGTGCCCCATCTACAGTGGGCAGTCGGGAGGACCGTCGTTGCCAGGACAGTGCAGCCACAGGGTGGGGACGTCCCACAGGGCCGAGGGAGCTTGAGGACGGGAGCAGGGCTGCGCCATCGCTGGCCGCCAATGTCCTCCCTGTATCATCTGGCGTAGCGCTTGATGTAGTCATCCACTTTATTCCGGAAGTCCTCCTGGAGGAAAGAGCAGGCAGTGAGGTCACCCTGGGCAGACGCTGGGTGCCCTGTGGGGCTGGGCAGACCAGGTCTGGGTGCCTGTGCAGAGCACAGCCGGCAGTGTGGTCCCCGGCCTGACTCCCTTGGGGCTCAGTGCTCCCCACTGTGCCACCCTATCCCCACAGGCCAGCCCAGGGGGAGGTAGGGTGCTGGGGGCAGGGCAGCTTTCTCTACCTGGGCCATTGCTCCAGGAGACTCCCATGGGACTGAGTCAAAGTGACCTGAAATGCTACACAGCCCACCCTATCCAGGGCAATGACACAGAAAACACCCCAGGATGGGCCAGTGAATGGGAAGGTGCCACCTGCGGGCCACCAGGCACTGGGCTCTCGAGACACTGGATCAGCATAGGCAGCCTCTCCAGCATGGCTCTCCCAGGCTGGGACAGCTCCTGCCTGTCACCAGCTCCTGCTCTCAGGGTGAGAAACAGCAGTGCCCTGCCCCAGGTGATGGCTGTGGCAGAGGACTGGCCTGGTCAGAGACCTGTAGCAATGGGGCTGTGCACCCAAAGGCACACCCATCATCCCCAAGGCCAGGCCACGCTGTACACTCAGCAGGAAGTACTGCAAATCCCAGGCTGTAACTCTCAGAGCTGAGTCCCCTAGCCCCGTCACCTGCCCTTGGGACAGAAGGCTCTGTCTTAGCCCCTCCCTCTCTGCTCGCCTCACCCAGCCTAAGTCAGGGAAAGCCCAGTGCCAGGCCCAGGAGGAGCCTCTGGTGCAGGACAAATGCTGAGGGTCTGAGCTCCAGGGGGCCTAAGGCAGGCTGGGTGATGGTGGCTGAGGAGAGCTGCTTTCTCCCGCCATCCTCCCCAGGACAGGAGTGCCAGGACTAGCTTGGCTCCCCCGCCCCTTCTTCCCAGGGGGCCTGTACAAGCACTCTTCTGGAGCAGTGTTCTTGATGCACTGCTCACTGGCTGGCAGCAGGCCCAACGGAGATGGACAGAGCTGTGTTCCCGGGCTGAGGTTTGGGCACCCTGGCTGGGCACCCCCAGGCCAGAGAAGTCTCCTGAGGGCAGGGGGAAGCAGTGCCTGCCAGCCGTGCTGCATAAAAAACAGCCGCAGAGGCTAAACAGAGGACGTGCATTGGCTGGGAGCCAGGCCCAACTTCCAAGACACCTTCTGAGCACGCTAGCAGCAGGCAGCACGGCAGACCCCTCCTCACAACTGGAAAAATCTCCTGGGGAGAAACCCCAATGCCCACCAAGGAGAGAATGGTTTTTAAAAAGGCAGGGTAGACCGCCTTCCAGAATGTTAAGGCAGATGTGGAAACAAAGCCGAGTTCTGTGTGGTAGGTCACGTAGAGGGAAAGGGTTAATTTTAAAAAAAGGAACAGAAGATGAAGAGTAATGGCCAGGATCACACAGTGTGAGTTAGTGGAAGTCGGTGCTAGGAACAGAGTGCAGGAACTGGAAGACACCTCTGCCACTGGCCTGTCCTGTGCCCAGGGGAAAGGAGACTGCACGAGTAAAGTCTGCTTCCCCCTGGCCTCAGGCTGGAAGGGGCTATCTCAGGCTTACCTTGTCCCGCAAGTGGTGTTCTGCAGCTTCGATATTCAGTGGGTCATCGAAATTCAAGAGATCCTTAAAGGAGAGAAACCAGAAGTGAACACCGGAAATGGCCCACTGTCCTGCTGTCTAAGCTGTCCCTTGAAGTAGCAACAGGAATCTCCACGGCACATACCAGGCTGCTGGGGAGAGCCGAGGACCCCAAGGGAACTGAGTCCTCCCATTGTAGGGGCACCGAGCATGTGGTGCCTTCCCTGAGGTGTGGGCAGCTGCCGGAGTTGGGGTTGCTTATACATGGCTGCAAACCCGGGTGAGGGGACTTAGTATTTCCAGATCAAAGCCCTGTGCTCTTTTTTAGACTCAACCATTTTCCTCTCAGCATCCTCGATGGCTGGCACATGTGCCCCTTTCTCTCTGACCTCGCTGACCTCCCTGAGTGCCCTCTCACAGCCTGGGGGATGTCACTGGGGGCCAGCCCTATGTTGGCAGCAGGGTCAGGCCACCCCCATGCCCAGAACACATCTGGACTTCAAGCAGTGGCCTACCCATCTCACCCATGCACTGCTCTCCCACCAGCTCAGCAAAGTCTGCTCTTCAAGACACTGCTTTTACAAAGTGTCCACAGTGATGGGTCACTGCGAAAACATCTTCAGCAATTATAGTAAATTTGGAGCTGGGGATTTACCTCAGTGGTTCAAGTGCTTGCCTGGTAAGTACAAGGTAATGAGTTTGATCCCCAGTACAAAAGAAAAGAAAGAAATTAGAAGACAAAGTCGGTTTTTTGAGCCAGTGTGGTGGTGCATGCCTGTAATCCCAGCACTTGGGAGGCTGAGGCTGGAGGATTATTGCAAATTCAAGACCAGCCTGGGCTACAAAGTGAGTGTACGGCCAGCATGAACTGCATAAGGAGACCCTGTCTCAAAAAGACAAAAAAGAAAAAGAAATTATAGTAAAATTGGGGATTATAGAGCTGGGGATACAGCTCAGTGGCATAAGCACCTGCTTACAAGCAAAAGGTCCTGAGTTCAGTTTCCAGTCCAAAAAAAAAGCGGGGCAGAGAATTCCATTCTTGATTTGGAACAAGTATGTGTGTAACCAGTAATGTACCAGAGACATAGCAGAGACAAATGGGAAACTCTAAGGATATTCTGAATGGTAAAGTCAGATTCCAAGATCTAGAGAGAAGAAAAAATATGAAGTGAATATTTTAAGCAGTTTCTAACGTGTAGCAAGACAACTTTAGATACATAAAACTGTTTAATGTCTTCACTGTTACGTTTGTCCCACGCCATCTTGATTAGACTGACACTACAGATTGAACTCATACTTCCGTCAGACTCTAGAATGTGGAGATTCCACATTCTATGGGTGCAGATTTCCATAGCTTAGCTTGAGGACCTGCGAGTTCTGCTGAAGATAAAACTAAGAAGAGCAACCAGGTGAGCTGGTGCAGCCCGGGATCCCAGCATGTGGGAAGCTGAGGGAAGAGCACTGCGAGTCTGGGCCCTGACCGACAGCCTGGCAACAATGGCTCCAAATCAAAAGAAACAAATAAAGGCTGGGGCTGCCACTCAGAGGGACGGTGCTGGGTTCCATCCTGAGGGCACAGCAGGTGCAGAGCAGAGGCCTTGGTGCAGCAGGTGAAGCTAGGATGCACTGTGCTCATGGGGCTGCTCCCCAGGGGCTCTGGAGTCCCTAATTCAGAAGGGATCCCTAAAACTTGCCTCTTGGAAAGCCCTTTTATGAGTCAAGGAGCAAAGATGACATCAGGACCCCATCCCGTGCTGCTCTCCTGTGTCCCACCCACAGCCCTGGGGCATGTGGTGCAGCCGCCCCTGCAGCACCCCTCACTGACAGAAGGACCCAGATTCAGCTCCTCAAACCCTCCAGGCTCTCTCGAGCCATCCCCACCACCCAGCACAACTGGAGCATCAGGGCTGGTGATGGTGAGCCTCACTGGGAGGCTGAGCAAGCAGTGCCTGCCCTCAGCCTCAGAGGCCACAGACTATGGGCAGCAGGCAGCTGCTCTCGCCAGGGTCCCCCAGTATATCTGGCCAAGGGAGTCAAGGAGCTGGCATACAGCCTGATACTTACAGTGAACAGAGAGTTCAGTCCCCAGACAACATCCTGTAACAGAGAAAACAGAAAGGGGTGCTCAGGCCCCGGGTACTGAAGTCTTTTAGGCCCAGGACAGAGAAACCCCCCATGGATCTGCATCAAAGCTGTGTTCAGCAAGTGGGCTTTCCTTGAGACCGGGATGAAAACCACCTTTCCTCAAACTTGGGGAGCTAATGAGAGCTAGTCTCGGGAGTGAGGAGAATCCAAAAGGGACCCTACAGCCACTACTCAGACCCACTCGGGCACTAAGTGCACCCCAAGTGCCCCTTGGAACTCCTCCACCTGTCACCACACAGATATCAGCATTCAGCCACACAACTGCCAAATAAACCTGCGGCCTTTGATACCGACTGAGCCTGTAGGGTCCTAGCTACTTGCCAGGACCTGTGTCCTTCCGTTCCCTCAAGGACTGAGGGAGGTGTGTGTTTCCAGGACTCAACATTTTCATTAGGATAAAACTGGAAACCAGGGCTGTTCTCTTTCTATGGCAGCTGCCAGTGGGTCCTCGCGCCTGTCCATGCCCACATCTGCCTTCTCTCTACCCGGCCACCTGGTCCTGACCCAGCCGAGTGCTGCTTTCCCTGGCCCCCGGGGAGGACGGTGACCAAGGCACCCACTCTCACCTTCAGTGTTCTTGTAGGAGCCCAGCCAGTGCCGTCAATTGAATGTTCTCGCAGCAAACTGAAACAGAGAGGAAATACAGGGCCCTCAGCGTGCCCTGAGCCTCGGGCGCCCTCCCCTGTGAGCTGGGATCCTCCTGGCAATGCAGTACATGCTGCAGGGCACCTCAAGGGGTCCCCCTGCGGCTGCTCGGCTTCCTTTCTGCCCTGCCATGCTGCCAGTGCTTCCTCCTCTACACAGACCTTTGATCCTTCATGGGAAGCTTCCAGATGCTTCAAACCACATGCAAAAAACACCTGTCGGTCACAGGATGATGCTGACAAAAACAACACTGATAGTCTGTGGCCTCTGAGGCTGAGGGCAGGCACTGCTTGCTCAGCCTCCCAGTGAGGCTCACCATCACCAGCCCTGATGCTCCAGTTGTGCTGGGTGGTGGGGATAGCTCGAGAGAGCCTGGAGGGTTTAAGGAGCTGAATCTGGGTCCTTCTGTCAGTGAGGGGTGCTGCAGGGGTGGCTGCACATGTCCCAGGGCTGTGGGGCTCCAGGGATACTATCCTAACATGCACCATTCAATTGCTTGAGGCCTATGACGAGGAAGCCCAAAGCCTGCAGCACACCCCCCAGGGGCTCAAAGCCGTATGAGCTCCTGAACACAACACTCTAATGACTGGTTCTTAAAAAAGGTTTTCAGGGGCTGGGAATTTAGCTCAGCTAAATGGCGTAAGCACTGCCTGGGAAGTTCGAGGTCATGAGTTCAATCCCTGGTACCAAAAAAAAAAAAAAAACAAGGCTTTTCAAAAGGGAAGCTTCCAGGCAGCAGCACCCTGTGGGGTTGGGTCAGACCAGGGGAAGGGGTGCACCCTAGCTCCAGCAGGATGAAGAGGCACCGTTTCCTGTGTTCAGATGCACAGGACATCTCATATCAGCAGTGTCTTGTACTCTGGAAATTAGGGCTTACTGTCCAGTTCCTCTCCAGAGACACTCTCACATCTGTCAATTACGCTGTGCACTGCTCTGATCGACACAGAGGGCTCTGTGCCTTATGCGAATCAGGCTTCGTTCAGATGCCCATAAGACAAGTTAGGAGAAAACACATATAAGTATAGATTTTAAATCAAAACCATAATCTTGTCTATTAAAATCAGAAAAACAATCAACCTCAAATTAACCACGAGTTTACTTTGAGCTTTTAAAGATAGAAGAAGATAATCTCATTCCCTGACAGTTGGCTGGACACCTTTCTACCCTACAGAGGCACCAGTGAATCCAACTAAGCAGACGTGGCACTTCACAGCTGTGAAGGCTTTCAGGGAGTTACTGACCAAGTCCTAAGGGCATCCTGAACTGCAGAGATGGGCTCAAAGGACATGGGATTATTTTTGACTACGCCTGGCCTTGTCCTCAGCCCTCCACAAGCCCCCCTCCTCGGGACATGCAAACTGCTCCCTATCACCTGGCTTGCTCTGCAGCAGGAGGAACCTCTGACAAAGCCAGCCTGTGGGCATTCTATCAGTAGCGTAGCATGGCATGGGAATGTCACCCCTGCCGGCAGGCAGGCGAGGTACAAGGGCTACCAGGCCCGAGAGGGCCATGTCACAGGTCATACAGAAGTTCTCACCCAGCTCCAGCAGACAGTGGGGCCAGAAGGAGTTGATTAAGCAAGGGGACAGAAGGGCCCTAAGGAGGCCACCAGACACTTAAAGACTCTAGGTCCACAGAGCTGAGGTGTAACCACCGAGCCCTGGACCTGAGCCCCAGCCTGACTGCAGCCTCTGACCACAGGGCAGTGTGGAACAAGGGGCCTGAGGACCAGGCAGCCTTCAAGCAGTGCGGAGGAGCAAAAGAGCAAGCTCCGGCAGCTGCCACCTGAGGGCTGTGCTCCTAGCCCCAGCAAAGGCGAGAGTGCTGCAGGCTTTGCAGGGAGAACCTGGCAGAAGTTCCAGGCATCAGCTGTCACAGCCTCTGTCTTCACTGGGCACTGGCAGACCTGCTGTGGGGCTTCCTAGGTTAAATACCTAGCAGTGAGCAACAAGCCCACACATTATCCAACCATATGTGAACACAGTACAGAGCGCGCCACTGAAGGGCAGTGCAGGTATCTGCACCTGGGTGCCCTCTGAGGCAGCCCTGTCATCCCTGCTGTCCCTGCCCAGGGGCACTGCCCATCTGTCTCCTGAGTGCTCACGGGTATCTGCCAGTGAGCTTTTCTCTTTCAGTTTTGTGCTCATGGCTTTTTGTTAGTTTGTTTTGTGGTAAAGGCACTGAACCCAGCACCTTCACATTGAGTTACACCCTCAGCCCTTTTAAATTTTGAGACAGGGTCTTGCTAAATTGTCTGGGCTGGGTCTGAACCAAGGAGTCTCCTGCCTCAGCTTCCTGGAGTGCAGACATTACCAGTGAGTGCCATCACCTTAAGGGCACACTAAACAACACTGCCTTCAAGGTTGGTGGCTTTTCTATTAGGCTTCTGCCCACTTGCTGCTGTCATCCTCCATAAGTCATCTGATTTCCCAGAAGACCACAGGCAAAGCTGGGCAGGGGGCATGGGCAGGGGCATGGGGCACCATGCAGAGCCAGCGCACACCCTCGCCAGGGAAAGCTGTGGTGGGGCTACAGGTCCATCCTTAAGGGCAGGGGAAGACAGCCTGAGGACCGGTACCCAGGCCCATCTATGAGGTTGACAGCATGTGTGCAGATGGGGGAGGCGGATGGCATGTGAAGTGTTACTGGGACAGGACAGGAAGGTGTCCTGCCACTCAGGCTTGCTTCCCCAGGTGACCAACCGTCACAGACCGACCAAGTGGGGAGAGGGGTGGGGTCTGGGGAACACAGCTAATGGGGAGAAAACCCCGCCTCTCGCCCACTCCACACTGTGCCCGGCCTGGAGGCTTCCTTTCCTGGCTTTCATCAGTTGCCTTCTGTCATGTTGGCTACAGCCAGGCCCATGTAAGTAAGGTGGTCTCTGGGCGAAGGTGGCAGGAAGGTGATGGCACCCAGCAGCCCTCAGCACCTGGGCCCCACAGGAGGCCCTGTATGGAGCAAGGACTGGGGATGGGCGTCAGTGTCTCTTGGAGGAAGTGGGGTATAGGGGGCTCACAAACAGCACTCAAGGGCAAAGGAGGATGGCTCACCTCAGGCAGATCTCCCCTGTCTCGGTGATGTTGGGGTGCCAGATCTTGGTCAAGCACTTCACTTTGGGAGGCTGCAACAGAGAAAATCCTTACTGTGACGACAGTCTCCCCAGACCATGCCTGCAGCTGCTGGCCCCTGCAAGGTCCCCTGGTCATCACCACCAGGCTGGCTTGGCCCGAATGCAGCTTGCCAGGGTCCACAGCAACACTGAATGTCTTGGTTTTTGGGTCACATTGCCAACTACTCCTCACCTCTACAAAGAACTTTTAATGTAGAGGCCTGGGAAAAATCAAGTTCTGTAGGTTAAGATCTGGCTTCAAACATAATTGCTACCGCCATTAAGCAAGGCTGGTATCTGGGCCAGCAGACACCAGAGACACAGAGGACACACCTGTCTGCACAGTTACTGGGCCACCACCAGGGTGTCTGCTCTTTCTTTCCTTTTTTGAAATGTGTCTCCTTGTGTAGCCCAGGTTGGCCTTGAACTCAAAATGAACCTTCTGCCTCTACCTCCTGAGTGCCAGGAGGACAGATGTGTGCCACCACGCCCAGTCAGGCTGAGTGGTTAGGGGACTTCAAGAAAAACACGCACACAGAAGTTCATGTGTGGACCTATATCATACACCCACCACAGTAAAACCAGTAAGCCAAACTGGCCACTGTTGTGGCTTGGCATAACTGATGCCATCTTGAGCTTTTAACTCGTGCCCTGTATTTGACTCAGAAAAATGGAAAATTACTCAGGGTATATAAGTCCCATGAGAAAACCAGAATGAGCTGTATCTACAGGAGAAAAATTAACCTCCTCAACAAAGAAGCAGAATACAAGTGTCAACTGAAAATTAATGAAAGATTCGAGCTAAACTGTTTCCAACAGGATGTTTTTTGTGATTCTCTCTTTTAAAAATTCTGTAACTTTTCAGTTCCAGGCCACTTGTTTGGACCCTGAATCAGGGGGGTCTGTATACAAGTGGTCCTGAGCTCAGTTAATTAAATTCCAAATTTATCAATTTGGCTGCTTGGATTCCTACATTGTTGTTCACAAACCCATCTCAGCCACCACCAACTGTCAGCAGTTTGTGCTGATTTGTCACTGAGCCTAGCTACATCTCTGTGTCCAACCATGGAGTGGGGAGTTGTCAGAATGTTAAATTCAGTGGTTCCTCGCTGGCACCCAGCTCTGAGCTTTCTCCCTTCTCCCCATCATTCTCCCACCCCAATTCTTCACTCGAAGCCTGGCCAATCTGCCTTCCTTGGGGAACAACTTCCCATCCCGCACCTGTAACCACAGCGCCACACATCCTGTGTCACCCAGAACATCCGATACTCTGGTTCTGGGCCACACTAGAATGACTCAGGTCAGGTTCTCTCTAAAAGCTGAGCCAACCTCAGCCGCTTCCCACCGCCCCCTCCCCGTTCCCTCCTGGGACTCTGGTCCATGAGCTTCCTGTCGTCTATTAGTGACTGTGCAGCTCACCCTTGCACCACTCTGTCAGCCCCCCTGATGCTTTGCAGGTTCCTCAAAAGGAAGGAGAATGCATCAATATTTGGTGTAACAATTACCGAGCAGGGTCTTGGAGGGATTAACACACACTCTGGGTAAAAGTTACCTACTACTGAACAAGGCATTATTCCCTGAATTCTAAAGCACACATTTTATAGATCTCTAGGATTCTGGCCCTATACCATAAACAAAGCCAGTAATTCAAAATAAAAATGCCTTTCTTATTTACCAAATCAGAGTTACATAAAGCACACAGGCCGATGGCCTGGCAAACAACACACAGGAGGCATTCACCAGCTGAATAAATCGATTTCTATACTGAAGCTCCATAAACTTCTGCTGCTGAGTGGCATTCAGGGCTCAGCCCCCATGATGGTGACAGGGCCACTAGGGGCAGGTGCTGCCAGACTGGGTGTCAGGGCCCAACAGGCTACTCACCACCATGTTGTATGCATCAGGAACTTCAGTTTCAAACTGGAATTTTCCACCCTGGTAGTAACCCTCATCTGTCAAAAAACAAAGCAAAACAAATTCCTTTAAATTAAAAAAAAGAAAGTGAGAACAAAAAGCAAATGCTCAGGTTGTGCAAACGCAGAGTGCCAAGAGATTAGAACCAGGTCTGCAGAGTCTAGGCCCATGCCCCCGGACATCCCTGGGCCCCGGGCCATGGCTAAGAGTCCTGTGAGGCAGGGCTCCTCACCCTACCACCCGGCTCTGCATGGAGCACCAGGGGCACCACCTTCACCCTATCCTCTCCTGCCTGCGGCACTTCCTCTCACTCTGCTTGTGTCTGGCCTTTTACAGATATCAGGTCTCAAGAGACCAGGACCTGCACAACGGCCAGGTTGGCAGCCGAGTCCCGAGCACCCACCCACCTGCTCCCAGCAGGGCTCCGGGCTCAGAACCACAGAAACCGGAGAATCACACTTCAGTGAGTACTCACAACAGCTTCAGGATAGAGCCAGCCCTTGAGGGCAGGGGAAGTGATGTCCAGGCCCCCAGATCTGCAGAGGCCCCGTGGGACAGCCCCTCTCAACTAGACTAGAAAGTGGCTGCCTAGAAAACTCCCAGCTTCCCAAGTGGCACAACAAGTGCCAACTTCAAAACGACAGCTGACCCCATCTGCACTTTAAAACAAAAGAAAACCCTTAAGAGGTGCCTTAGGAATTTCGTCCTGGTTTTGGTTTTCAGCAGTGCTAAGGACTGAGTCTCCACCCCAGCTGCATCCTAGGCCTCACGCACCCCCTGCTCACCGCAGCACTGAGCCCTGGCGTGAAGCTTCGGTCCCACACAACTGTTGGAGGCATGGCTGCCCTGTACCATCCTCCCCGGTGTGAACACCCACAGCACACACTGTCAGTCTATAAGGCTATGTGTGGCCACCCCAGCAGCCATGCCGTGTTTGCCAGCTTGTTTCCCAGGGCAAACTCCCCAAACAGTCGCCTACCAGCTTTGGAGAGATCCCAGGGAATTCTCGAGGAAGAACTGGATCTAACTGATCCTGGACAGGCAGTTCTGACTTCTTCCCCTTTCAGGAAGCAAATCTCCGAGCAGGGGACTGCTTTAACCCCTTACTCCCACTGCCTGGTCCAGAGCCCTGCTGTGTAGCCTGCAGCGCGGTAGGGGCACCCAAAGCAACTCCTGCCCTGGGTGTCTCCTACCGTTGCTCTCATGCTCAGCTCTGCACCTGTTCCACAGGCCACAATGTCCTGGGGAAGGGGGGTCCAGGCCCAATCTTGTCCATACCCTGTGTACCAGGCCTGGCATCCCGTCCAGCCTGGCCAGCTCCTGGGCCCATCTGGGTGGGGTCTGAGAGGCCCTTCTCCAGGAACCATCCTCAACTCCTGTCTTCAAGGAGCCACACAACAAGCAGTCATGCCCAGTTGCCCTTTGGAAAGTTGTTCTCCTGGTGTAATCCTGGGACTCATTCAAGGCAGCAGCACTCGCTAGGATCCACCTCTGGGTGCCGACTCCTCCAGCTCCACCAGCACGTGGCTAACCCACCCTCCCAGTGAGCAGACCTGCTGCCCAGCAGCGCGCTTGGCCTCAAGGCTATGGTGCCTCCACTAGACGGGGTTTGGACTCCGCCTCAGAGGTCAGCACCGCAGAGGCTGCAGGAGCAGCCAGGAGGACACAGGGCACAGAGGAGGGGTCTTGGAAGCTGCACCTCCTTCGGGTCCCCATGTTCTCTCTCTGCTCCTCGGCTGCCAGCCTGTGAGTTGCTTCCCTTTACCAAGCCAGCTCTACCTCCAAGCCAGCTATCCCAGACTGAACCCTCAGACACCGCACAGTGATCCTCTCTCTTGCAGCCATGTGGGTCACACATTCTGTCCGGGAAACAGGAGGGTGACTGACAGTCCCAGGGAGGGCCAGGCCAACAGGCACCATGCCCAGGACCCTGGTTTACTCTACAGACACTGCGGCTCAGATGGTGCAATCTGATGGCAAGTGATTCAGACTTTGCCTGTCATTTCCATCCCTCATCACTGTGGGACAGTATCTACCCCATCCGAGGGCTGACCAAGCAGGTGCCTGGCTCCCAGTCCCATAGCACGACCACACTCACAGGGAGAGCACTGCCCGAGCAAGCGAGGGAGCAGCGTCACACCAATGTCACTGGCAGACATCCGTGACCACCTGAAAGAGCTGAATCTGCCAACCCTGGGTCTGAGGAAGGGGGCGGGGACGAGTGACACGGCAGCCCTCGCCCTCTTCCTGGGTGCACAGGCCCTCGGGGTACTACTCCAGGGAAGAGCAGCATGTGGCCAAGGGCAGCCGAGGGGAGGGAGGGTGATGGCGTCATGGGGCCTCTGCTGCCATGGCGTGCAGCTCCATCAGCCAGGTGGCAAAGCTTCATGTCGTGGTTTTTGGAGGAGAGTGGTTGAGAGAGGGTCTCCTGTGTAATTCAGAGGCCTTTAACTTGCAGCAATCCTCCTACCTCAGCCTCCCAGCACTGGGATTATAGGTGTGGGTTACCACACCTGGCCCCATGCCCTGCTTTTCAAGAAATGGAAGAAGGCACCTAGCCTAGTGGTCAGCAAAAAGACCATAAAAAATGTTTTCTATGATATTATTGGTTTAATTCTGAGTTTAACTCTGAAGTCCAAGGACAAAAGTCAGAGCAGCAATGCCGTCCATATGGTCCATGGGTTCCTATGAACACGCAGCTCCCATTTATACTGCGCTCTCAGACAGGCTGTGGGAGGTGGGGACCTGCCAAGCCACAGCCTAAACCCCACTCCTTCCCCAGGACTCCATGAGTCCTCCCCCACCCAACACTGACCTAGCACCAGAGACAGTGCTTCCTGGACCGTTGTCATTCAGGAGGGAAAAAGATGCTGCACTGAACTCCACAACAGCAGGTGGGAGGAGAAAGGAGGAGGCAGGGAGATTGTAGTGACACAAGGCAAGAAAAGAAATAAAAGTAAAAACTGAAGGGGGGGCTGGAGGCTTGGCTCAGCAGGCAGGGGCTTGCCTGGTGTGTGCAAGGCCCGGGGCCCAGTCTCAGCACTGGTGGAATACATCAAGAAGCCGGGAGAAAGATGCTGTTACACACAGATGGCCTGGCAGTTACAGAGTTCTACAGACTCTTCACAACGGCTACTAGCACTAACCGCAGGCTTACCAACGTTGCAGGACCAAGGTCACTGTCAGAAAACTGACTCACAAAGCTTTGTACGGAAAGAGGGGAAGAGGGGTTAAAGGGAGGAGAGGAAAGAAGCAAGACAAATTCCCTATGATGAGCATTATGATTTGGTATATCTAAATGTACCAATAATTAAAACAGGACTAGCCAGTCGAGATGGAAGCTGTTCTTTCCCTTCCCAGGACACTCACTTTGCCCTCTGCACGGCTGAGTGTGGGTGGTTGGTGGCTTGGCCACAGCCCTGAAGCTGGGCACACTTTTTTTTTGGTCCTCCTGGGCGGACACCCAGTGATGGGACCACTGGGTCACACATGATAGCACAGATAACTACTGTGGGGGGGACAAATCTGAAGAGCAATAGATTTTTTTCATCAAATCTCCTAGCAGAAAACAGAAGAATACATTTTGTAACCTGGAAAAAGCAAAGAAAATTTTAAATAAGACCAAAAAGCATGTTTAAAGCACATGCAACACTATACTGTTAAAATTTTCTCAACAAAAACATTAAAAACTGAGCAGAGAAATATTCACAGCTCACCTACCTGACAAAGGACTTGTAGTGGGTCTCACAATAATGGCCTTAGTAAAGCTTATTGTATAAAAGCAAGCATGCACCTGGTGTGGTGCATGCTTGCAATACCAGCACTTGTAGGCTGAGGCAGGAGGATTGCCACAAATTTGATACTAGCCTGGGCTACGGAATCAATTCAAGGTCAGTCTAAACTATAGAGTGAGAATCCCAGTACTATAAAGAGCTGAGAGAGGAGGATGTCAAGATTGAGTCCAGCTCAGGCAACTTCAGAACTAAAAACAAAGAATATTTTGAAAGGGCTGTGGAGCAGCGTAAGTGCCTGCCTGGCAAATTCAAGGTTGTAAGTTTGATCCCCAGTACCAAAAAAAAAGGTTGTGGATGCAGCTCATTGCCAAGGTCCTGGATTCAATCCTCAGTACCGTGTGTGCACACACACACTCAACAGACAAATCCTCTGGTTAATCACCCTGTTAATCACAGAGGTCCTTCGGCTGAAAGCCCACCCTGCCAGCAGCATGGGGCTTGAGGGGATGGCACTGTCCCCAGGGCCGCCTGCTGCGCTGGCTGCGGGTTTTCGGGCCTACACATCACAGCAGAACTGGACAGCTGGCTGCCTCCAGGCTCTTGCTCGGTTTCCTCTTGCTTTCTCTGTGGTAATTGCTGGAGAGAACCCCCCAGTACATGGTGCCTCTCTTTCCCCCATCAGCCAATTACTTTCCTGTTTCTTCTTTGAAAACTGTATTTACTCCTAAGCATGCAGCATTATTCCAAAACAAAAACAAAAACTGTGAAAGAGGCAGCCATGTGGCCAGGGCACGCCGCAGTGCCCCTCCAACAACTGTGCCACGCATGTTCCAAGCTTGCACTCAGTTGTGGGTGCCCCAGGGACAGTGGCTGTCCTGAGCCGTCTGCTCCCCACCCCGCACCATGCGAGTGGCTGACGAGGCAAGGCTCTCATACCCTCAGCCCAGAGCTGCGTGAAGCAGATGGCTCCTGTCCTGTGAACTCTGTGATGCTAGGCAGGTGTGGGAGTGGGTGGATCTCTGCCCTGCTGCTCCTAAGGACCCGGAGGAAGAAGCCCATGGCCTTCACAGATACCCAGATCCAGGGCCTGCCTCAGTGTGAGCACACAGCTCGCAGGGACAGCAGTGTCCCCAGCATGTGCCTGCTGCAAATGTAAGAGAACCAACAGTTCCATTCCATTTCCAGTAACAATGACTAAACCCTAACCCGCTGCCATCAGCATCAGCATAACCTTCACTGCCACAGCCTCACAGCCATCAGGTTTAAAGAGGATGACACCTAACGGGAGGAAAGACTCAGCCTGCCAGAACCAGTCCAGGCCTGTGAATAGCCAAGGGCCACGAGCTCGGGCTCAGGGAGGGAGATGACCCTGTGTCACTGAAAAGCGTGTGTCCCCCTGTGACAGCAGCATATGCAATGGGACAGGAAGGCCACCAGAAGACAGAAAGAACCCCTCCCCTTCCCTCTTTGTAGCTTCCAGACTTGACATCCCTCGTTCGGAGATGCCAGGCCTGGTGGACATCCCATCGCTGAGAACAGGGCTCTGGTATCAATGTGCCCCAGTATTCACACTCTGAGTGCTTGGTACCAGACCCAATTCACACAGGCCTAGGGCCCCAGGCAGAACTTCTGAACTGACAAAGGAATTTTAAAGTTCCTGAACACATTTTGAAATTTGGATTTATCCTATTCTCATAAAACTCCTTACAAGGCAGTGATCATCCCACCTCAGGGAAACAAGGCCAGGCTCATTACATTCCGCATAGCTGGGGGGATCGCGCTCCAGGTCCTTACACCCTTTCCACACCCTCCCTACAGCAAACTCTACACCAAACTCCCCGCCCAAAGTTTTCTTTCTTTTCTTTTTCTACCCAACTCAGGTCCAAGCCACCTGAACCTTCCATCTACCCGGACAGCATGATGCCCATGGACACTGCCTCCCTCCTGCCCAGCATTATGCCAAAGGTGCCAATCTCAGCCCCTCTGCACATGGGATCACACCAGTGACAGCAGTGTTAGTAGACAATGTCTCTTTCCCTTGCTTTGTCTCAAGCCTTGGACCAACTTCCACTCAATTTTACATTCCTAAAGCGACTCACATGTCCCCCTGAAGGACCTCAGACTGTTCTTCGGACACTTTGGGACGTCCTGGCCTCAGACAGCACAGTCGGGAGTGCGCACAAGTTGGGGAGTCTGCAAACACCTGGGTGTGCCTTTTTTAGAGAAAGGTTAGACTTCTGGGAACCTTTCTGGTTAATTCCTTTTCCACTTTCCCTGTCCACCCTACTGCAGCGTCAATTTCCTGCCACCCCTGCTGGTGTCAACATCAGCGGGTAGAAATCCATGAACTCAGGAGCTATGCGCCCTCACTAGGAAAGCCAGGGCACCCTGTTGCCTGCAGCCAAGGCAGAAAAGCTAGTGAGCTGTGCTCACGTTGTCCCACCCACCCACCCAAGCGCTGCCCACATGCCATCTCACTAGTCCTCCCACTTGACCTGGGATCAGCCATATGGCTAGTCCTCTCATTTGACCTGGGATCAGCCCGGCCTGTGTGGTCGCTGCTCTGGAGAGGGGGCTGTGACCATGTGGCTGGGCTTGACACGCTCTGAAGAGGGAGGCAGAACTCATGCAGGCTTTCAGGGCCCACGCCCTGCAGCATTTGCGAGCAGCCATCCAGCATGGAAGGTGGGCTGAGCAGGTACTGTAGAGCCCCGAATGTCTCCCCTCTTCATGGGGAGCAGTTCACACAAGACAGCTTAGCATTATAACCCAGATTACAAATCAAGCCAAAGGTTAGGAATTCAGGCAGACTTGACAACTGTGCTGTGAGAAGCCCTCTAGGGTTAAGGACAGAACAGAACTAATTACCTGGGGTTACGGTTAGCTGAAAGCAGTGCAGCTTGTTGGGATCAGGAAAATGCACTTTACATGTACCTGCAAGAGAAACACACGTCAGCAAGCAGGCGGCAGCAGCTGCACGCATGGTGACACGGGGGTGCCCAGTGGTTGGGACAGACCCACCAGGGGCTCCCCTTAACGTTCCAGTACAGACCATGGCTTCCAGTCACCTCCCTCCCACCCTAGAGTCAGTTTCTAGTTAACTGCACAGCGACACTGTCCCTTAGCCTTTAAATGCTACTAAAGACAGACCTTTCTGCTCATTCAAAACCTCTGCACTGCATTTTGAAGCTCAGGAGAGCAGCTGGCCACAGGGCCAGCCTGCCGCAGATGCCAGTACATAGGGTCCCGTGCTGCTGGGCAGCTGTGGTCCACAAACAGCTTCCACCCCAGCCTGGTGCAGCTTGTTCTGTTGCGAGGAGCCTCTACAGGCCTGGATGGGATGTGCTGGGACCTGGATCACCCTAGAGGGGAACTGGTCTGGACAGGGAGTTTGCTGCAATATGCAGAGGGGCAGGGGGTACCGTGGCGTGGATGCCTGTAGAGGCCGGCAGCATAGGGCTGTGCCCCATACCCTCTGTGTGGTGAACTTGAGATTTCACTCCTCTGGGTCACTTGGCTTCAGGTTTGTTTTTGAGACAGGGTCTTGCTGCATACCCCATGCTGGCCTGAACTCCCCAAGCAGTCCAGGCAGCTGGAGTCACAGTGAGCACCACCATGCCTGGCTCCCTGACCTTGTTTCTTCTAAGTCTCACTGCAAGTATTTGCTTGGTTTTATAACAAGAAAAAATTTCAACATAATGAAGATAATTCAAATACTGAGTCAAAAAAGACTTCAAGGCTCTCAATTAGAACAGTTGACACGAGGGTCAGGAAGGCTGCAGCAGCACATAGCCCAAGTCCACAGATCACCATGGGCAGGGAGCGAGTGCCCAGTGGGTACTCAGCTTGTGACACCCTTCCCAGAGGCCATATCCCCATCTGGGACTCAGTGTCACATCAAACACGGGACATGAGATGTGCGAACTAGAGGAAGCGGGGACCTCGGGCGGCTTCTTCTTTAGGGTGACAGATGGACAAGCAGCAGTGTTAGAGGACATACTGCATCTCTCTTATTTTAGAAGGAAGGAAATTTGAAGCTAACAAGATCAGGACCTGTCCCCAAATCATGCATTTACAGCCGAGTGTGCAGCCAAGAGTGGTGGCATGTGCCTGTAATCCCAGCACTCTGGGAGGCCGAGGCAGGAGGATTAACAGGTCTAATCCCAGCCTGGGCAATCTAGCAGGACCTGTCTCAAAATGAAAAATTAAAAAAGATCTGGGGATTTGGCCCAGTACAAGGCCTAAGTTCACTGCTCTGTACTGCTCCACCAAAAAACCCCAAACTGTGTGTGGAGTACTAAATATGAGCTTCATTTATATAACCCTAATTTGGAAAATGTAAATGTCCTCTGTCCTTGTGAGATGCTCATAAACAAAGCAGATGAGGATGACAAGCCCAGGAAAGCGCAGTCACTGCTGTTAATGCCTACTTCTTTCCTTGGTCTCCTCTAATAATGGAACCCACGTGGAAGCCAATCCCTCTGAAAGAGACTTGCCCATCAGGATGAAGAGGTTACCAAAGTGGGTTAAAAAAAATCAAACTCCTGAAAAACTCCCAAAGCTGAAAAGTTTAAGAATAGATAAACTCTAGAAAAGAGAAGGTGAAGGTCAGGTTTTGCCTTAGCACCGTGCAGAAATCAGCCTCCCCCTCGCACAGGTACGCTCAGACCCCGGGCCTCAGTCCGTCCTAGAGACGGCTATGAACCTGCACGTACAGAGCGGAGCTTCCTCCTGGCTCAGGACAATTATTAGACAACTCGGACACAAGACTAGGTATTTTGTCTCTGTAAATATTTTTGGAAAATTGTTAGGCAAATAGTAAATATTTGGTCTCTGGCAGCTCATTTCCTCTGTAGAATAATGAACTTCAGACTTCGGGGAAAACACACCTGACCTTGGACATGGATTTAATTTCCTATCTCTCCAGGGAAGAAGCATGTGGGCATGTTGTCTTTTATCTGACACCTAAGCCAAAGGGACAGGAAGACAGGCCATGTCTTTTTCAATCCTAATTTTCTTAATTAAAATCCCAATTCTAAAGCCAGTCCTGATGTTGTGTTGTTCCAAGCCTTCGCACTGGCTACACCCCCAGACAGGGTCTGGCCAAACTGCTAACTTGCGTAAGGTACACTTGAACTTTAGATCCTCTTGCCTCAGCCTCTGGCAGCGCTGAGATTACAGCTATACATGACACCATCTGGCTTCCAGTTGTTAAATTTTTTACTTTTTTAAAACTACGCTTTATGGTTAAAAAAAACCTCAACATATCTGGATGATTCACATTCCAGAAAAAAACAAAAGGCGGAGGTCAGTCCCATACCCTTTCATGCAAAGACACACATGCACACGCGTGTCCTCATCAGGGACTGTGGAACAGACCTCCAGTGGCAGGCGCAAGGGTTGCTTCCTTTTACTTCTCTATTAGGATCACATCCAGAAAGACACAGGGTGAAGAACACTACAGTGAACCTACCCCTCAGCTTTGAGATCTGGTTCCGTGGACCGGGGATACAGTACAGTGTCTGGCTGGCAAGCACGAGGCTGTGAGTTTGATCCCCAGTACCAAAAAAACTCAAAAAACAAAAAACTCAAAGCATCTGGCTTTGCCTATCCCACCCCATACATAGTTGTTCATTTGGAAGCACCTTGTTTCACCTAAACACACTTCAGTAGGCAGAAATTTAAACCCTGATTTAACAGAATCCCAAGGCAAAACCTTCAGCTCTAAGGTACAGACATCCCGAGGGTGAGCACTCCTGGGTTGATATAGGCTTTCCCTCACCACCCATTCTGCCCACACGTGAAATGGTTCTCCAGGGGAAGCGTACTTACCCTTGCAGCACGCTGCACAGCATGCAGGCCACAGCCCACCTTACTTTCCAACCTGGAAGTGAGCTCTCTGTGGTGTCAGATGGGCTGCACGCCCTGTCCAAGTCCTCCCACCTTCCCCCGAGTTCGGAGCCCACTTAGGGTCACTATAACCACAGCCACTCAGCCTCGGGCCACTGCTAAACCCAGTAGGATTATGAAAAGCTCTAACCCCAAAATGCTGCAACGGCACAACTCTCTAGACTTCGGTGGCCTACGAAACAGTCGGTGAGAGGATTTATGGTAGGAAAAAGATGTCCTGAGACCCAAGTGCATGGCCTGGCAGGCCTTTCTGCATGTGGGTGCAGTCAGGCTGTGTGGCTGGGGGTGGGGAGGAAAGGGGGCTCCTGGGCCTCAGACATCAAGCACCTTCTGCACCAAAACCACCGTGTCGTGAGTAACAGACACAGAACCATTTTTTACCGATTTCCACATCTTTGCACTCTGTACCCAGAAATGCTACAGAGCCCCATTCTCATGATGTCCTCCAAAACTTCGTTTTACACAAAATTTAATGTTTCCAATGCTAAAAAAAAAAATAGGATTTGCAATACAGTTCATTAAAACATAAAGCATAAAACATAAAGCTTTCTTCATGCAGTTACCTTACAATACTTAACTCGGACTGAGGGTGCCATACTTACAGGGTAAATTAGCTTCAAGTTCTGCAACCTCTGTAGAGAGAAAGACACCATGGTTAATATTATTCTTTTTTTTTTTTTGTCTTTTTCCTTTTTATCGGTACTGGGGATCGAACTCACGACTGTCTGCTTGCAAGGCAGGCGCTTATGCTGCTGAGCTAAATCCCCAGCCCCGTTAATATTATTCTTTACAACACGATCAGTGCTAAATTGGCAATTTCGTCTCAAATACAGAGGGGAAAAAATAAATTGGATGCAACACAAAGTAGTCTGCAGTTTATACCGTAATCCAGCGATGGCAAATCTTCCAAAGCTTTCAGTGACACAAACAGACGCTTGCCATGGATTTGCAGCCACTACTGACCCATTTGGCTGTTTTCAAATGCACAAAGTAAACTGCAGAATGCCAACAAATACAGCCAGAGACCCTTGAATATTCACTTTACCCTGACTGAAAGTTGTGTTAAACAAATACAGAAATTACCTGTAGGCAAAAACGACTGTGGTGTTTCTGCAGATGACTCCCAAGACTCCCAAGGGAACAAAACAAGATGAGTTTCACACACCCTGCATCCACACCCTTCTCTAGACCGTTCTTCAAGCTGACTCCTTGCAGCTCCATCTCTTGGCCCCGTCTGTCCTCTCTCTCCGAGGCCTCAAACCAGCCGGTTCCTCTTCTGTCAGATTCTCAGGAGGTGTTTACACCCAGCATCCTTTGCAGGATGAGGCTGTACTCCCCCACAAGCTGGCCAGAAGGGATCTGGGCTGAGCCTCAGGTGCAGCAGTGCCATGCATTTCACTCACTCTCCCTAGTTGTACTTAGCATGGTACTTGAAACACTAGCAGCAATGACCACATAAGAACAAGAAAGGAAAGAGATGCAAAGCAGAAAGTAAAATCAGGTCATGGTGCCACCATCAAAACAGCTGAGATTCACAGCTCAGATCCACCACGCTCTTGCTGAAGCTACCTAAACTCACAAGCTGTAGCCGTGGTCACACTGAAGTTGGGGGTCGGCAAGCCCAAAGGAGAATGGAGACATGCACTAACCCTCAGTGAGTGCTTGGAATAAGACCCTCCCAAGGGAAAGGAGCAAGCAGATGGACAACATGTTGTAATCAGGAAGGATGAGCATGAACTAGGAATGGCAATGACTTCAGTTGGTTGCTCCCTACCAGAGCAGATTGGTGGGATCTACTTGGCACGGGTCACATCCCTGGCTGGACCCAATAAGGTGTCCCGAAGTGAGTCAGCATGCACAGCATACACTAACGTGGTGAAGGACCCAGTTGGTTGACTGGCTTGAAGTGGAGGGGCTGATATACCCCTGCTTGCACTCAGTGACCTACAGCAAACTGGAGAGGGCAGAGATCCCTAGCCAGAACATTTAAGAACTACAGGAACAAGGAAAGGGGCTGGGACCTCCACTATATACCTGTATGGAAGAAACCAAAAATATGACAAGAGAAAGAAATAAGTCCCCAGCTCCAACCCTGTGAATATTGATCCAGGAGAGGTAAATGCAGAAGACACTGAGGGCAGCAAACATGCAATATCAGAATGGCAGCAGCAGACATAAAGAGATATCTTCATGACATCATAGATGAGCTCAAAACTGAAGTATTAATTCAAATAAAAGCAAGATATACGAAGATTAATCAAAGAAGTGCTAAGCACCTCTCAAGAAGACACAGATGAAAGAATGGAGGAACCCCAAAAAAGGAAAGAAACTTTCAATGAAGAATATAAAGAAAACCTAGAATACATGAAACAGATTAAAAGAGATTACCAGGAAATCAAAAACTCCATCGAAAGCTGGAAAAATTGCCTGACAGAAACTAGAGATAGATTAACAAAACTTGAAGATAGGCTTGCGACATCTGATCGTGAAAGGAAAGATCTCTTAAAAATAACAAGGAAACAAGCAGTAACAATACAAAGGCTAGAAAATGACAAGATGATCTATAACTTAAGAATAAAAAATGTGTGTGAAGAAACAGGGGTAAATACAAAGGAAACACAAAGGCTATTCACAGAAATAAGTAAGGAAAACTTCCCAAGCATAGGAAAAGGAAATGATATTCAGATGTATGAGGCCTACAGAACTCTAGCCACTTACAACCAAAGCAGAGCTATACCCAAACATATAATAATCAAGATCCCAGAAATTCATCACAAGAACAGAATATTAACAGCTGTCAGAGAAAAGAAACAGATCATCTATAAAGGAAAATCCATCAAAATCACAGCAAATTTCTAGACACAAACCATCAAATCAAGAAGAGCTTGGAGGGAAGTATTTCAAACCCTAAAAAAAAAATAACCTCCAACTCAGATTGATGTACCCTGCAAAACTGTCTCTCAAAATTAATGGAGAAACAAGATACTTCCATGACAAAGAGGAACTGGGGGAAATTGTAACCACCAATCCAACCCTACAAAAAGTACTGAAGGACATTCTAGAGAGAGAAAAAAATACCAGGATTTTAGAAACAGTGGCAGAGAGGCCTCAATGAATGGGGCAGACAGTGGAATGAAGGAGAAAAGTAGACAATCAATGGCAGAAAAATAGCATAGCAGAGATGAGACAGAGAAGGTTGGCTATAATCTCTAACACAGATGACCTTGATATACTAAGAAAAAGAAACAACAGGCAGAGTAGGTCAGGACGTGGGGTCCATCAAGATGCTCTGTATAGAAAATATAATTAACCTGAAAGAGGCTTTATGGACCAAAAATCAAATATGAGGAAACAATGCTCTATGTGACAGGGAGAAATAGGGGCAACTTGACCAGCACTTGCAAATAGGTTGGAAAGACAGAATACTTTTGTGCAGTAGAGAACTACTCAGCTGTAATAAAGGGAAATCTTGAGGCTTTTGTAGGTGAAGGAATACAACCTGAGAACAAGTCCAGGAGTAAGAAGGTTCAAAACCACTTGGGTAAATAGCAGGTTACCCCCGCAATCTAAAAACTGAGGGAGTTGGTGGGATCCAAAATGTACAGTGTACCCTGTGCGAGTGAAAAGGGAGGAACTGTCTAAAAAAGGAAGGCAGAGGATATTGTTAATAGTGCATCAGGATTTAAAATCCACATGACTCTCACTGCTCTGTTTAGGTGGATTATATTCTGTTCCAGTTTGTCTACTTGTATTAGATTTGAGGGCACAGACAGCTATCCTGAAAATACCAGGATAATCACCCCTAATTTCCTATTAACTTAATCTGAAGCCCTGTATAACTTACAGTCTTATTATGACTGATCTTATTTGAATCTGGTTTATTAGATGGCTGTTTTATATTGACTGATTTTATTGAAATCTGTTATGATTGATAGTATCCAATCTGAGAGTATAGGCAACTACTCTGAAGAAGACAAGATTCACTAGGATACCTACTCTGGTTTGATTATTAGCTGCTTTTGAAGCTAATAATCTTAGCTTCAATTCTATTGAAGATAATAAAGAGACATCATAGTAACCATTGTAGATCACCTTGTATTGCAGTTTTATGTGACTTTTTTGTTTCAGGTTTTTCTAGGAATTTGTTTTGCTTTGTTTTTCCCTCTAATACAGAAAGGAGAGATACACATATAGAGATTCATGCATGTGTAGAACTTATAAACAGTTTATGAGAACTGATTATATAATGCATGATGAAATGAACAACTACTTTGAAAAAAAAGGGACACTACAGTACCCAGTGCTGATTCTGTAGCATTATGATGTGAAATCTAGCAATACTATTATTCTTTGTTCAGAGTGATTTTAGTCTGTTTTGCTTTGCTTAATTTCAGCATACATGAAGGTAGGACAACTATTTTGAAGAGAATGAGAGACACTATGACAGCTATTGTTGACTTCCCTATTGTCTTGAAGACCTGAAACGCCTTCATCATCCTGTTCTGATCAGTTTTATAATATGTTGTTTTGCATGAATTCACTGTGTGTGAAGATATGGGCAACAGTTTGGAAGAAAACAAGAGACAATACGATAGATAGTGAAGATCTCTGGTTGTCTTGCTTTGAAATTTATGTCTCTTACATTGCTTTCTTATGTTACATTTTGTTCTGTTTAATTTTACCCTCTTTTAAAATTAAAAAAAAAAAAAAAAAGAAAGTAAAATCCTCTGTTTTCAGGCTGTGTGACTCTGTCTCTAGGAGGCCCAAGAGACCCCAAAATGGCAAACCACTAATCAACAGTCAGTGAAGCTGTAGGATACAAAATCAACACACAAAAAACCGTTTTTGTTTCTATATACTATAAACGAGCCATTCAAAATAGAAACCAAGAAAATAAGCCCACTTACAATAGCATCAAAAATAACAAAACATTTACAAATAAATTTAAGCAGGAAAGATCTCTAAATTGGAAAACTGTAAAATCTTGATGAGAGAAACTAAAGACACAAATAAATGGAAAGACAGCCCACATTCATGGACTGGAGAATTAATACTGTTAAAGTGTTCATACTATCCCCAAAATTCAGATTCAATGCAATGCCTATCAAAATTTTAACGGCATTTTTCACAGAAATGGAACACAATGCTGAATTCTGTCTGGAACCATAAAAAGAGCCAAAGCAGTGTGGAGAAGAACCAACCAAGTTGGAGGCATCTCTCTTTACAATTTCAAGCTTCCCAACATATAATAATCAAAACAGCATGGTATGGGCACAAACATAGACCCATGGACCAATGGAACAAACATTGAGTTCAGAAAGAAACTCAGCAATGTACAGCAACAAATCTAAGGCTGCTAAGAAAACACCACAAGGGAAACAGCACTTTCCGTTAAGTGGCTGGGAAAACTGGAGAACCAAGACGAGAGAATGAAAGTGGACCTTGTTTTCCACACCTTGCAAAGATCAACTCAAAATGGGGGTTTAAAAAGGCTTAACCACGAAACCTGAAACTGTAAGGTTCCTGGGAGAATATACATGGAATAAATTCCTTGATTTGACCTCAGCAATTTCTTTTTGATATCATACCCAAAGATCAATCAACAATAAAGCAAAAGTTAACAAGTGGGATT